CGCTGAGTGTTCAGTGCTGGACACCACCAAACTGCGAGTTGAGTTTTCGCAGCTCAAAATCTAGTTGAGTTAGTGGTCAACACGAAAAGCCAATCGCGACCAATGTAAAATCTACCTGTCAAGGGCTTAACTTTGGTCTGGTTGCCAAGTGTTGAACAGTCGGCAATTTAGCGGTGTGTGAGTTTCTTTGTTTCTTCTCATTGCCATTTCGCAGGCATGGCTGTTGGCCATTCGGCTGGTGCAACTTGAAACAAACCAACATTGACTTGGACGTTTAAAGGAAGGGGGCGGCGGCGGCGGCGGCGATCGGGATCTATGGTCCGTGGGTAGGGCTTCAAAGAGCCGCGCAAGCTGTTCATCATCTGGCATGCGGCAAAAGGTCGAAGGTGATCATTAGCATGGCTCAGTGGAAGCGAGGGCTAAGGCATACATTGAAGTGGATGCAGTCAACACGGCAAACTAGCTCGGTAGCCGAGAAAGTTTGTGTCGAAGACTTTCTGTTGCCCGATATGGCATTTCCTGTGCCTGCCAGAAAGGTGCGGAGTGAGCGATCCGCAAGTCTTCTAGAACGCTTTTGGATCAGGCCAAACAGAAGTGTGCAACCAGTGAGAGCGCCACACGCCTTTGCGTCTTAGTGACTTCTAGCAAGCTTAATTCGCACGTAATTGGGAGCATACCTATGCAATTTCCCACATGAGCCATCCCTTACCCCCTTTTCGGGGTTTAGACGCAGCTCGTCGCGGTCCAGAAGCTACTGGGGGCAACAACCAGACTTTGAGCCCTATCAGATACGTTGAAGAAGCTCCTTTTGACCGTAGCGCAAAGCCATTCCCTCCCCCAAAGCCTTTGCGGAATTTTTCCCGAGCCCCTATCCGGCACCTCCCTGCGTCTCACATTCGGCCACTATGAACCCCGTGCTTTCTGGTTGATGATAAAGTTTCGCCCGTTGTTGATCACTCCACCACGCAAGGAATGCGTTGCGCCTCAATCCCTGACAACGTCCGACCACCCGACGAACTCTATTCGGAACTAGAGCGACCGGGTGAGTCAGGGCCGGTGCGGGACGCCCCTTGTTGCGTATCGCACAAGTCTTTTATCAGCAGCTTGGTGCCCTGTTGTTCTACTGGTTAGCAGTTTGCAAGAGTTCCGCTCCGAAATACGGTTTGCTACGCCAAGTGTTACCCTGGATCGTGAAGCGATGAGTCTCTTTATGCGACTGAAAGCTCGTGTCGAGCGATCGAGGAAACAATGAGCAATGCCACAAGCCCGGTAGGGGCGTTTCCTCCCCCACCGGGCGTCATCCCGAATTTCGAAGATCCTCGAGATGCTGGCTGGTTGGCGAACATCGTGGGCATGAGTGTCATGGCGGCAATCACAACATTTTTTGTCGCTATCAGAGCATATGTGAAGTTCTTCCTGGCAAGTCCAATTCTTCTAGAAGACTGTATGTTTTGCTACGGAAAGTAATGCCAAGAAGAAAGCAAACATAAGGCTGACATGGAATACAGGGACTTGTGCAGTGTCATATGTGAGATGCCGAGCCGAAATCCGTCTCTGCGGAGGAAATCCAACGAAGCTAACAATCCCAGACTCTTATCATGTTCTACATTGCGGTCGTATTTGTGATGGCGCACTACGGCGAAGGGTATCATGCCTGGGAGCTTACGAAGGAAGCTTACAAGGAGGTGATGCGGGTTTGTATCCACGCTGTAACGGGCACGATCGACATCAGCTAATGTAGCGCTGGGTAGTGGCTCTATGCAAGTTCCCTCATTTACATCCCGGCAGCATATACCACGAAAGTCACACTTCTACTTCTCGAAGCACGAGTATTTGCGGTCCATGAACGAACCTCCCGCGGAATTCGGATCTTCATCATCACCTTGTTCATCTGCTACATCCCCATACAGACGCTAAAAACGGTTGTCTGCTTGCCCATATCGTCGTTCTGGAACCCTCACACACCGAATCCGAAGTGTCTGAACCAGCGCAAGCTCTTCATCGCTGACTTGAGCCTTGCAATTATCACCGATTTCGTCATTCTTGTTCTTCCAATACCGCTTCTCTGGGGTTTGCGCATGCCTTTACGTAGAAAGCTGAAGATCCTAACGCTGCTCGGAGCGGGAGGTATTGCTACAGCTATAACTGTCTATCGCATGTACCTCGTCGTGCAGTTTCTCAAGTCCAAAGATGTGACTGCCGATTTTGTCGTTTTGGACCTCATAACGTAGGTTTGGACGCGCGAACTGGAGAACGAGGTTGGGCTAACAATTAGTCTAGGGCACTCGAGCTTGTGATTGGCGTTGTTTGCGCTTGCTTACCATCTACGAACATTCTCTACGAACGCATACGAAGAGGCGAACCGAAGCCAACTGGTAACCTGCCGCGGACTGCACACGATATCAAACAGAAGAGCCCAAATTCATCCTATTTATGGAGCATCGTGACAGGAAAGCAGTCAAAGCCCGTGCGCACCGAATTCACTCTGGCGGAACTTGCGACCAGCCCAAATTATCGAACGAACTTTGACACTGAGCTGGCGATCCTTACGGGCCAACCAATGGGTACGGCCGTTTTAAAGGAGGATTTGGAGGCAAAGACGGGGCAAAACGCCGGTGACTGGGTCTTCAATCCCAGAGCGAACTCGATGGACGGCCGACGGGAGGGTTGGCTAGCACAAGGAGCCGAAAGTTCTATACAAGGATCTGAAAGAGAGAGGACACCGAATTGGCAACACCATGAACTTGAGGCCAGAAAATCATGGGAAGCCGTTTGGAACAGAGCAATGCCTGCGGGTGGGCTACCACCAATACCAGAAGATAGCGGTCCTCCTCGGCTTGAGCTAACGACGCATTCGCCGCCAAATTGGGGACATTTGGGCCATGATTAAAGAAAATTCACATTTTGGTTAAAAGTTTGCGCAAAAGATACCCAGATTTTGCAGGAAAGGACGTTGCGGGTCTATCATAATGGTGGTGGACCTGTCGACGCCACTTATTAGAGTACAGGACGGGATCGAGTGTTTCAACGACGAAGGGGATGGAAACAGCGCAGACAATTCCAGAATCGGCGATGATGGGTTGTGTTGAACGCCCGGAAAGACAAGTTAATAGTAGTTACCAATCCGAAATAACAAGAACCTGCAAGACGTGACGGAGCTCCCTACACTGAGGAAATGTTCTCAAGATGGCTTGTAGTCGAAAGTAAGTATTAAAGGACGCAAATGGTGTGCAGGATAATTCTAGGAGTTCCAGCTGCATTCATACTAAGCTTCAGTACTTGAACCTCTCCCAAACCCATCCAGACTGGATCCTAGTTGATGTTGCAGGAAGTCTTCAACACACTTGCAAAGTAGTGCCATGACCAACTTGGTGATATTCAAGGATAGAAGACAGCTCAGACTTGAAATTGGCATTGATTTGTGGCCATCTCTGAGCGTAACATCGATATTGGGTGTTGAGCAGCTTCTCAGTTAGCACACATAATGTCAAAATTGCCGATGACTCCGTGTAACTATGTTTTGAGAACATTTGCAGCAGTGGAAACATTTTACTTACCGTCCACCGACCGCGTTTCCATGTATAACCGAGGTCAGACGTACCTTGTTTCCAACTATGGTATGAGGTTGCCTTAAGGTTGAGCAAGTTTTCTGCTTCAGGAACTCGATCACCTCTGGGTCTCCAGATGGCTGCACCTTATTAGGCGGGGACGCTGGCGGCTTACGTGGTGGTGGGTCCAAAAACACCGAAGCACAAGAACCCTCAGAATGATCACTATTGTCATAGGCGAGTCTGCCAACACTAATCTTTCCTCACATCTGACCTGGATGGTATAGACTAAACAACACTGGGGCTCGTGGCAGATTTGATCCGACACGGGATTGAAATCGAGAATTGAGTGGCCTTGATTCAAATTACGGGTTACGATTCGGCAGTTTCCAGCCATTAAGCGAATTCACGGAAGAAATGGACTGCACTTTGAGTCAGCAATTGCCCTACCCGCAAGCCAAGATTGAGTGTGACTGCGTGCAACGTAGCGCAAAAGTTTTAATGGCTACTAGACGCATGGATGACCGTGACGGTAACCACATGAGATTTCTTGCGGGTCAAGACTCTCTCTAGGTTTGGGATGCCCCGGCAACACGAGCTCAAGTTACCTAGGTACAACAAACATACATGCGATCGCTGTAGAGTTGCTTACTCCATGGACATCTTAGGCAATTGCCTAGTTGATCAGCATGGAGATGGGCGGAAAGTAGCTGCGCGATTCGACGGCCGCCGTATCTCGCACAATTGTAATCTCTTGACGCCATCTATTAAATGTTACATAATTGATTCTTTCGAGAAGGTGAGGCCGCACAAAAGTTCAGGATGACGACTTGACTTGGCAATATCTGGTGGTCATGCTTGGCGCTATGCGGGAGTGTTACAACGTAGCGCTTGGCACATCTACGGATGCCGCCCAATACGATATGCCCAGAGCTTTACTGTCCCTTGATTGGGAATCCTCTTGAACAATCGTGCCTGTCGCCAAGTCCGGGCGGGTAGGTAGGTGAATTTGCGGCGAAGGATGGTGGACTGCCGGGCCAGGGCTTCGGAGCCGCTGATTCGTGCGTTCAAGTACCGAGCGGGCCATGTCCGAGAGACACCTGCCACTTCGGGCAGTAGTGCTCCGCATCGCGACATTTGAAGTTCGTTGCTCCCACCTTCCAACCGCTGCTTGTCTACCTTCTGTTTCTAGCAGGACAAAGAACAGGAATTATGTTTTTTACTTGTGAAGCGGTGGGGAGATACCGCGAGCCCGAGAGTCATGCATAGAGGGGGCGTAAACGCCAAGTCATGATGGAAAGAAGATAAAAGAGACATTTTCTCGTCCGATCAACTAATGTTTTTGGATCTGCACCTCTCCCGCTCTTTGGCTCGTCTAGTGATCTTGGTGGTTCAACTGTCAATCACCCCCTGTCCTAGACAATTTCTAGGATCCCTCCCGGACCACTCAAGATGAAGGCTTCCACCTTGGCTACCTTGGCCGTGTCGGCGCTTCTTTCCGGAGCATCGGCTAAGGAGATTGCGCCGAGTGAACTCGTCTCTGAAATCTATGACAGCGGCGTTATCCACAAGGACCTCATGGCCCGTAAGAAGGTTTGCAACTCCCAAACGAGCAATTCACTTTCTCAGTCTTAAATATTTGATACATAGGCATCATGGGACCGCCAGATCGAGAGCGGAGAGATGGACTCTACTACCTACAAGAGCCGTCTTGACGAAGAGGGTTCCGTCGCCTGTGTTAACGGTGTTGCTGAAGTTGTCCCTGGCGATGCCAACAACACCTTCAGGTGCAATAAGGTTGACTTTTACGACTTCAAAAGCCACGCCGATCTAGGCTCCAGAGCGGGCCAGGGATCTTCGTCTTGGGGATGGACGAGCCCCGACGGTCGCGAGTTTGCCATCATTGCTCAGGCTGATGGTGCTGCTTTTGCTGAAATCACCTCCGAGGGCAAGCTTGTTTACCTTGGTCGTCTTCCTCAGTACTCGACTCAGTCCATCTGGCGCGAGCTGCGTGGGTACAAGAACTACGTCGTCATCGGCAGTGAAGCCTCTCGCCACGGCGTGCAAATTTTTGATCTGACCAAGGTTAGTGGAGCCGCGAAACGTTTTCCGTTCCTGGGGCAATACTGACTTGTGACGGCAGCTGCTGGACATTGACCCCGCGAGCCCAGTTACTTTCAGTAACCAGCATGACCTGACAGGTTACTGGAACGGCCTCCCTGCTGGTTCCACTCACAACATCGTCATCAACGAGGAGAAGCAATACGCTGTTGCCGTCGGGGCCCAGCCTCGTTCCAGCGCCTGCCGCTCTGGCTTGATCTTCATCGACCTTAGTGACCCCTCTAAGCCCACGTCTCCGGGCTGCGCTGCGGGTGATGGTTATGTTCACGACGCCCAGTGTCTAGTCTACCGTGGTCCTGACGAGAAGTATTTTGGCCGCGATATCTGCTACGGCTACAACGAGGACACCTTAACCATTTACGATGTCACCAACAAGAACGAGACCAACATCATTTCCCGTACCTCCTACGAGGGTGCCAGCTGTAAGTCACTAACATTTCTAGCATGCACTATGACTGCCATGCTAATCATGGTTGCAGACACTCACCAGGGTTGGGTAACAAACACGGAGTGGCAAGAGTACCTTGTGCTCGACGACGAGTACGACGAGGTTGATGCCACTGGTCCTGCTGCATCTGGTTACCCCATCACCTACTTCTGGGATATCAGAAGCCTTGAGGCTCCTAAGCAAACTGGGTATGTGACTTATTCTTTTTCATCATCTTGGTCCTCTCCTTACCCAGACACTGACTCGTCGTTTGATATGTAGCTTTTACCGCAGCGAGGCCTACGGCATTGATCACAACCAATTTGTCATCGATGGCCTTGCCTTCCAAAGCCACTACGGTGCCGGTCTTCGAATTCTTGATGTTTCCTCCCTGCCCGAAGACCCCACTGGAGGCAAGGTTTCTGAGGTCGGATTCTTCGACATCTACCCCGAGGATGACAAGGAGCCTAACGGTGGATCTATCGACTTTGTCGGTACTTGGAGCCATTACCCCTACTTTAAGAGCGGCCACATCCTGGTTAACACCATTGAGCGTGGTGCATTTGTTGTGAAGCGCTCTGCATAAGAGAAGCTGTCTTGAATCTTGAATTAAACAGAAACATCTGACAACTGCCATTTACTTGCGAAGTGTCCATCCCAATCAGATTTTAGTAGTATAAGTAATATATTCATGACGAAAACTGGTTTTCAACCGATAATGCATAACACCTCTGTAGACTTGGCCCAGTATGAATCAGCCAAACGCTTTATATTAGAGAATATCACTCAACAGTCCTCTGCTTTTCAATTTGCAAGTCTTCATAGCAGCGACGTGTTTCGTTACTGGGAATTTGTGGGTCAGTTCACAAAGACTGGGGTACTGGCTTGGCCAAGCTTGTATCCAAAATAAGGTATTTAGTCATATGTGATTAGAATATACCGACCCATCAAGCACACGAACTAGTAAATACTCTTGAATCCTCTACCCACGGACCGGTCAATTTTCCTATGTGCTTGGGGTTGGCTTTGCATGTTGGTAGTCTTATGTATGTGTGCCCCCGAGTAAACATTGAATGAGGCTAGAGATGTTGTGGAAAGGAAGTTTTACAGCCTGAGACTAGCTAATAACTTCTTAATTTGAATTCGTACATGTCAGTCCTGCGACAGTTTCCCTCATATGTTGACTTAACGTTAAATGAACGCACAGGGTTGTGTGCACGAAATACGAGGCTTTGAGGGCCTGATCGACAACCCCTGTAGGGTTCGAATTCCAGTTAAGATGACTGAAATTGTGACCTTTTGATTAGCTAATTTCTGTGAAGTGGAAGCCTGAGGGCTGCCAGTCGAATTCTAAGTGCTGGCATGTATCTATGCTGCCGAAGATTCACCAAACTCCAGTTAATAGTCGAGTCGCGTTATAGGGTCTGGTTGGGACCCCATAACGATACTGGAGCTGGGCTTGACTTTTGTATAGGAAATATTGAGCTTCCAGAAAAGACTTCAGTTAAAATTACCTTTTTGAGACAGCAAAATGGCGATGACTAAGGAGGTACAAAGCAAATGTCAGACAATATAAGAGTTCTGCGAGTTTAAACTGTAAATACCTTCAGAGAAGGCAATGCTAATTTCCGTGTCTCACTAGAAGCGTGGTCAGACGCTGTCACCTTGTGTTGCGGCGCCGGCTGCAAGACGTACAAAAATATTGGTATTAGTCCTCAAATCGCTCCCGATATTGGTGAACAATTCCATTCGCACAGCTCGGTTTCACACTCTCCATTGCCGGCAATGTTTCTATGTACCGAACAACAATCATATTGGGTCGAGCGCTGCACTCTGAGGCGACGGCAACGCTGGCAAATAAAGTTGAAGCTACGAAACGTTACGAGTCATCAATACGCAGCCAACCCGGTCTGAATGACCTGCCACGGACCCCAAATTGTCGGTGTCGCCCACTTAGAATCCGTTCAGCCAGTTGTGTCGGACGAGTTTGCCTCCCTTTTGCATATGAAGGTATTAGCTAATTGGGATGCATCCTTGGCAGCTACATGGTCGAAAATATCCGTTCGTTCTGAGTCTCGAACAATGCTCCGATCGCATGCAGTCAGCAGGGAGGGTTTCCACAGAACAGCACCAGCTTCTTTACATGAAGCGACCACGACCACCAATCATCAATGCATGAAGGGTATCGCATACATCACTCGGAGTCCCCATGATCATCGAAAGAACCGAAGCGTAGGCGGTACCCAACCGTAGGAAGCATGGCGACCGATCAACTGGATAGCATGCTCAAGCGCGATGCGAGGTTTTTGAAAGAGATGTGGACCTGGTTCGCTGTCGGAGCCTTCGTCATTTTCTTGAGGTTTGTTGTGAGATTGCGTATGGTAGGTCCTAGGGGACTCAAAGGTGACGACTACACAATGCTTGTGGTGCGTAGGAACTAACCCACGAATATGGGCCTCTTCTAATGTTCTGTTCACTTAGACCTTATTTCTGTACACTGTTTGCTTTGTAATGGTCGACCTAGTTTGTGAGTCTATGTTATTCTCTTACATCGAGGAGAGAGTCGTCGTTTGATGCCGTTGAAGAGTTCTTCCATTGAACTGACAGCTGTCCCTCGACTCAGATAGATACGGAAGCAACGTGGACCTTACAACAGCTCAAATAGGTGTTTTATCTGACGAAGAAGTCGCGCGCCTCGTAGAGGGCTCAAAATTCCAACAAGTGGCATGGTATTCATATACGGCATATCTATGGTCTCTGAAAGCCACATTGCTTTTCTTCTAGTAAGCATTTGTTTAGATTCTTATGGAGGCTGATGCTTACTCGTATTCTAGTAAACGTTTAACTTTCGACTTGTGGCAAAACGCTAAGGTGTTGAAACTCTTGACTTGGTTCACGATACTATCGTACCTGGCCGTAGTCGGAACCATAACCTTCAGTTGCTTACCGTGAGTTTGTGATAAACATTCAGTATTTGTAACGATTTGGCTGACACATTCCACAGATTCTCTGATAATTGGGGAGTGAGGCCATTACCAAGTGAAAAATGCGTTTTCAAGGCACAGAATCTGCTGGTTACGACCTTTTTCAGTAAGCTCATGTCCAAACTTTGATTACCGTCAGCTTGCTAATAAATCTTGAGATGTGATCACCGATGCCGCAATTCTTTCTTTGCCTTTGCCGGTACTGAAAGAAATAAGAGTACCTTTATACAAGAAGATGTTTATCGCTGCGTTAATATGCTCTGGGCTCTTCGTCATCGCCGCAGCCATCATGCGCGTGGCAGTTACCCTAGGCTCAGAGCCATCGACTATTACAGTAAACCGATGGGGAGTTCGAGAGTGTGAAGTCGGACTCATGGCCATTAATGCGCCGATCCTTCGTCCACTATTTTCCCGCAGATTTTGGCAGTGGCATTACCGACCTCCAGCACGTACTTCAGGCCCTATGGAAAGTGCAAGAAGAAGCAGGACCACGATTGGCCGCCGAAGGAAATTCTTTCAGGATGAATCTCTTCTTGGGTGGCTGAACTCTACCACTTCGAGACTTGAAACGATTGTAAGAACTCGAGGTCGTGGAAGTCCCATCGACCCAGAGCTCGGGAATACCGCGAATGACCAGGAATTGAAACCAATCGATGAAGTAATGGAAGAGGAAGAAGGGTAAAGTTTTGAGGGCGTCACTAATGACAAGAAGGATTGAGAAATTGCCACTCACGCAAGGTGTTTTCATTTCACTTTTTGCTGGTGATAGAGTGCTTTACCATTAGTTTATATTTACGATGGAGAGCGGAGCATAACTAATGATACCCAGTTACGAGATGTGCTATAACAGTAAGAGCTTATCGGTCTTCTCGATGCAACGGCTGTCCGAGATGCCACTTCTTTCTTACGAAAACAGGTATAGTGCTGAAATGAGACTAAGTCATGCATGCTGGGCGAATTTGTGAGAGCCATCCTGGATATGACTACGGAGACCAACGAGGACTGCCATTTACGACAAATGTTCTCCTCAAGTCTAACTATGCTTCCGTGGCACTGCACCCGTAATATACCCACTAAATGCATCTTTAGATGCATAACGTATTCTAGAGCCGTTATTTGTCTTGGTATTGAGTCATCCAGTAGTCATCTAGAGCTAGTTTACACATTTCATCATTGCCTTATGTTCAACTAATGGCGAACAGTTACAAGACTGCGCCAAAACGACGTTGAACTCATCAAGACGAGTTTTTGTTAACAAATCAAATACAGAACAGCCTTTCAGATCTTCAACTCGTAGCCGCGACTCTGAGGTTCTACTGGTCATGGGTAAAGTCTGAGCGAAGATCTACGGTATTCCTGCTGTTATCTGAATGATGAAGGGGCCAGAGAAGGATGCTACAAGGGTAAACTTCAGCCCGCAGTCGAAGTTGTTCGTCTAGACTGCTCGCTTCTTCCTCACGAGCAGCTGCATAGACGCTCGAGATATTTTCAGCTTCCAGAAGGCAGCTTTCAGAACCGTAAACATGCGGCTGTGGGGCCTCTGCAGTGGGTTGGACTAGAGTGTCAACATTCTGAGGGTAGTAAGGTAAAGGCGGTCCATCTTTACCTCTGTCGTTGTAGTCGTTGTGGATCTCCCGGGGGGATTTCGTACAGATTAAATCTTTCAACCAAGCAATAACGGCACTGTCGTCGAAGACCGAGGTCCAATCATGGTGAACTGGTGTACTTTCCATAGGATCCATAAGAGAAGAAATCGACTCTTCCTCCACGTCTTGCGCAGTGAAAACTGCGTTACTAATGATAGTGGTCTGAGACATAACGGGCCCGATAAACTGCAACGACTTGTTCTCAATCGAGGGAATAGGCTCAGGCTCGGTGAACAGCGGCAATGCAGGTGAGGAATAAGGATTCGGAGGCATCGGAGTCTGGCCGGAGTTACTTTCATCGAACAAAGGTGCAAGGTACTGTAGGCCAGCAACGTAGGTTGAGAGGATATCTTCAGTGTGACGTCTTGATTCCTCAATGCCTTCATGGACAAGAGATTTATCATTGTTCAGAAAGTAAAGTGTGCTTTGGGTGTGGTCATACTGTGCAGCTGACGTGCCCTTATTGACTTGCAAAGCCTCGCTTTCAGTGCAAGCGTGCGAAATGTCTTTCTTGGCGATTGGACCAAGCGATTCTGGCAAAGCTGGTCTGTGAAAAGAAGCTGTAACCCCCTTCGCTTCTCTAATTGTAAATAAGGCTGTCGCCTTCGCGGATGGATCGAGAAAGATGCTGTCATGATACTTCGATCCGTCTTTTCCGATCACACATTGTGATAGGGGCTCAGCAGGAACTAGGAAGTTGATTTCGCTGATAAGGTTGTATTCGTAGGTAAAATAGACGGTGATTGGCTCTCGAAAACGGCGGGCTCCGAAAGCTCCGATGCAATCTTCGATCTCTGCCACCATCGAATTGACATATTCAGTGTCAGGCGCCCAGAGGGGGGCACCGGCGCGGCACTAGTGGGGTCGTCGGCGGGGTAGCTGGGGCTGCACCGGCACATAGTTAAGGGAGTATAAAGGATTCCAGCTAAGCGTCCAACACAGACTTTGACGACAAAGGCTAGCCATTGAGATCAACGTTAGAGAAAGGCGATAGCACAACGCCGCTGGATTAGTGTTATAGCCAGGGGAACTGGGCTCGGCCAAGGGGGGGGGGGGGGGGCTGGGGTGCATATAAGGAGCAGCTGCGGCAGACCTAGGGGAAAGGCAGATTGGAATAACAGTCAACACCCACCCCTACCTGTGCCCATCGTCGACCTCGTTACTCTGTAAGACTCCAGCCTCTGACATTCAGAGTCGAGATCTTTTGGGAGAGAGCCCACAGGGACAGATGAGACTGTAGCATTGGAAAAGCAGTCATGATGCACTTCCTGCAACGCGCAGAATCTAAGAACATCAATAAAGTCGTTGATATCTTGCACAAGGGGATCGAGTGCGTCTGCATCGCTTTCTTCGTAGTTTGGGCCGTGGGTCGTTCGAGATGCGCCGAGTCGAGGATCAGCCCCGAAGCTGTCAACGGTCTGGAGTAGCATACACTGCCCAAGGGACTTGGAGAGGCGTTCGGGAATCCGTACTATTGCCGAGTGATCACATTAGTAAATTGGGATGATCAGATGCAAGTTTGATGCTAGTGATTACCTGAGCCTCCAGAAAACATTTGTGGCTCCTCGATGCTTGAGGCTATAGACTCGTCAGTCTCACTAGGTGCGAGCGATCTCTAATCGTCATCCTGGTATTGGGCCTCGCTGAAGATAGCGTCGTCTGAATAAGAAAGCGCCGTGATTACTATGGGCTTCTTTTTGGAAGAATTTTTGGGACACAGGATCATATGCACCGTAGCAGAATCACCCTTCAAATCCTTGGTGTACTGTCGATACATCGACAGATAAAAGGCTGAATACACCCAAGGTCGTTGTAGAAGACCAATCGATTATTCTTGTCGCGTAGATGAGTTGAAGTGTGTCTTGTTGGCGTGAGAAGCACCTACATTAGGATTCGAAAGGCTTTGCTTGTCTCGAAACTCTTGAACTGTTTGGCAATTGCTGTCATCGCGAGCCTGATGCGCCGCTTGCTGCGCTCTGAAAAGCAGAGTCAGGTTGAGCTGAGAAACACCGCGCTGTGTCATTTTGCCAAAGACTATTACCATAAAAAGTGGATGAGTCAAGTCGCCACACGTAACTATCGCATATGCGTTGTTGGCTTCGCAGCCCCTAATGGGAGATAGTTGTGTGACCTAGCGCTGCCTGAAAAGTAGCTGCGTAATGACTGATGGTAGTCTGTGGTTAAACAGCGTTTGTACGAGAATAATCAAGTGCAGAAACTGGCCTGAGTTAGTGATGAGAGACAGTGTCTACGCGTCTGAAAGGTACAGAGACTAGTAAGACTCGGCAGGAAGAGAGATTCCGACAATCTAGGATGAAGGAAAAAAGTTAGAGGGGAAAACAACGGTTGGGAAGACATCATGGTCGCGAAAGACAGGGCAAGTGGTGGAGCCCAGGTGAAGGGAGCCCCTTATCGAAGTCCTGCTCGCGGCCTGTCACGTGGTTCTGAGTGGCGACGTGCATAAAAGACGTGACCGCAAGGCTTGGGATGATTCTGAGGGGAACAAAAAACATGGTCTTTGTAGTGAGTGATGCTTTGGTGAGACCAGGAAAAGTGCTTCCCGCGATCCCGCTGTCCTTGGCTGGTCGTCTAGATATCTGTGAATGCAAATTACAACATTGGTGATCAGAAATGTTTGACTTGGTATAATAAGACAAAGCTACCAACACAAAGGACTAAGAGCGTGCGTATCAAGAAAATAACATTTTCAACATGTGAGCATTGTTTTTTTGTTACTTTTGAACACACAGCGGAAATAAAATTGTGATCCATTTGCTCTTAGCTACACCTTGCTTTTGAAATGCACGATATTCCCTCAGGCTTGGTATATTTTCTCTGAGAGCTCTAGAATGACTCGCATATTGCGCTATGGATGTTTCGCATCGGGAACATAGTCATTGTTCTTGTGCATGTAATTGAGGTATCTGTCGCAAAATGACGCCTTAAGCATTTTCTGGATGGCGCTGTATATAAATGCGATTTATAGCTACTACGCGATGCTTCCTTCGACTATCGAGGATATTATTACTGCCTTTGAATAATACAATGTATTTGTTGCCAAGAGTTTGGGGCTTTGTTGACACCTCTTGGCCCCCTTAAGCACATTTAGGCTGAACACTAGGCTACGGCTCATCTTGTCGTGGCTGAAATGTAAATCTCGCGATAAGCCAAGAAATATTTACGATTAAGCCTCTTGAATTTGAATTAGAATTAACATGTCAGACTGAAAATAAGACGGCGTCAAAAGAACGCTGTTGACTACCTGGGAAAAGCCCTATCAAGCTTGTTTCACTATGAGCAACATGACTTTATCATAAATCTGCTTGAGAGGTGTTGCTCGGCAACTTCAGTTAACAGCGTCAGGGAATTTTAACTTAATCTTCCGTGCTTGAAACAACAATTCTACACATCTTTGCAGAAGGCGTCGTCATCATTAAGTGGTTAGACATGGGCTGTGATAGGCAAAACTGCCTGTGTTCTACGCCGAAGGAGCTGCGACTAAGCATAGCTATACTTATTTATCCGCTTATCCAATTGCACGGTTCGACGCACGATCAGGCATCATACGACTCTTTGGAAAGAGCTGTTGCAGGTCCTTGAAGAGGGCGGTGCACTAAAAAAGTTGGCCTGATCACCTTGGCAACCCTCCAGCCGTATCGAACTCTTGTCTAGTTTCTCAATAGGATCCCGGATTTGCGGCACCTTAGACCTTTGTGGGTTCTGTGCAACATGCTTTGACTAGGAACAAGTGCCGACGTGGCGTTCTTTAGCGCAGGGTAGTAGTCATCATGGTGTTACTCACGTCGGCGCTGATCTCCAATGAGAAACATTGGAATAATCTGATTAAAACTTTGTGTTCAAGAACCGATTTATTGACTTGTCGTCGCGGATATTGTAAATCCTTATCTTTTGATTATAAATGTTTTATATTATGTATCATCGGGTGTGCCGCCTTGCGCGCAATACAGCTGATTTGTGTGGGCCAGAGAATCGGTTAGATTTAGATACGGGTCGCAGTAAGATTCCCCAACAGGTGGTTTCCAGGTACTCCAATTACGCAATCCGATGTTGAATACGTTTTAGCACCACCGTATTATCTTAGCTTGGGGTCAAAACTCGGATACAAAAACACACTGTCAATGCTGTTACCCCTGAGCACCGCCGCTCAAGTGGATTTCCGGAACCGGTACCTGCCCAGCTAGAAACATATTGTTTTAGTGGCGTTGCCTATGGGATACTGGCAGTTTTTTGATGTCTTGGGACGGGCTTGTTTCGAGAATAGACTAGCCCTGGGAAAGTGTGTCGTGACGTGTCAAGGTGCTATTTATCTGGTTCATCATTGGCTCGAATGACGGCCAACATTTTGTTCGCCTTTTATGCTTGTTTGACGCATCGATGATAGCCGCATTTGAAGAAAACCAACATACCATTGCTACCATGATGAACACAATGGTTTGTCTCGACGGCGGAATCCTGTGACACAGGTTAGGTACTCAATTTCGAGGGAAGCGAAGGGTTGTTCGCCATCTGAACTTTTAGCTGGCTCGTGTATGAACAACATATGTGTGTCCGCGTGTAGGGTTGGCTGCATAAACTCTATCTTAGTCCTTCGTATCAACTCTACTACGCCACACCCGTTCTGCAGCGGTTCACCTACCTGAACCTTTTACGTAGGACAGTTTGAGCAAACTCACACATGATTCGACAATGCCCATAATCTCTTCAAGTCTCCGTTCACGACCGAGCCAGGCAGTATACTCTGAGCAACTTATTAGTTTTCTATGAAGCGGAAATTTTAGAATAAGCAGACAAAGAAGCTGCCGGAACCCTCAACATCTCATATTCCAAGATTAGGCCCAGGACAGAAGTTCGTGTCGATTAGATTCATGAAAAGACAGATATTACCAGAGTCTTAGTTACAACATTCCAAGCACGGGCAAACGATATGGCGCTGCACGAACAGGGGTTACACTAGTTCTTTGCACCATTCTTAGACCATCCGTGATTTACTAGCGCAGAACCATATAGTCAAGGAGCAGCGGTGCCGATGATAATCGGATCAAGATCAGGCCCGGCATGGCAACCGCATAGACTTCCCGAGTCTGACTAGAGGCAGCGACGAGGATCGACGGTATAGTCTTCTGACTGGGATACTGTTGATTGGACGTTGGAGAACTCCGACATGGGCTCGATCTGATCCAGCCATTTCTTATAAGTATATAGCTCAAATATGCTCCCCCTTTTCTCAGATCTCTCAAATCTATCAGCAGCCGCTCGTTCTGATAATCCAACAACAACAATCGTTACTCAGCTTCGTTTCTGTCCTAACAGGTTAGCTGCCAAGATGGTAGTCATCAAGGGCGTCATGCAAGACGCTCTTAAGTGGCTGTTCTCAGTCCAAGCAGCTTTGAGCCAAGACAAGACAAACGGGTACGCTTACTGCAAATTGTTGAACTGATGGCCGATAAGAAAGCAAAATTGTATTAATTTCAGCGTAGGAAATCGCCCCTTGGAACTTTGAATGCCGTCAAACTGCCACTTTTCTTGAAGAGCAACCCCCTGCCCAACGGCTTGCCGTGGGGTAAGCTGACTGCGGACGGCACCAACTACTACAAGGAGTGGCCCAACACTGGGGTTACTCGCAACTACGATTTCACCGTCAGTCGTGGAATCATTGCTCCTGATGGATACGAGCGGAAAGTGCTGCTGGTGAACGGCGCATTCCCTGGCCCGACCATCGAGGCTAATTGGGGAGATTGGATTGAAGTCAAGGTTACCAACAACATCACCGACGGTCCTGAGGGTACTGCTCTGCACTGGCATGGCTTCCAGCAGAGAAACACCCAGTGGGAAGATGGCGTCCCTTCAATTAGCCAGTGTCCCATCGCTCCGGGCAAGACCTACACCTACAGATTCCAGGCGACCCTGTATGGTACTACATGGTACCACTCTCACTATTCATCGCAGTATGCCGGTGGTTTGTTCGGGCCAATGGTCATCTATGGCCCTGTCAAGTCTCAGCCAGAGATCGATCTTGGCCCTATCATTCTGTCTGGTGAGAAATTTACCACAAACTGGAACACTGATCGCAATCACTGACTATTATCGCTAGATTGGTATCATAAGCAGTACTTTGACTTGATCGAGGACATCCTTCAGGTTAACGGAAATGGGTTGGTATTCTCAGACAACAACCTTATCAACGGCAAGGGTAACTTCAACTGCTCCACAGTTGTTGCTGGAGACAAGACAAAGTGTACCAACAACGCTGGTATCTCCAAGTTCAAGTTCCAAACCGGCAAGACCCATCGTCTCCGTCTCATCAACTCCGGCGCTGAGGGTGTCCAGCGCTTCTCCATCGATGGGCACACCATGACCGTCATCGCGAATGACTTTGTTGAGGTGGAGCCTTACGACACCAAGGTCGTCACCCTGGGCATTGGCCAGAGAACCGACGTCCTCGTCAAGGCCAATGCTGGTAACAACAACCCGAAGGGCGCCTACTGGATGCGCAGTAACATCACCAGCTGTAGTCTGACAAACCAGCATCTTGGACTTGCTGCGGTTTACTACGACCAGGCCGACCAGAACAAAGCTCCAACCAGCACAGCGTGGGATGTCCCTGACCCCGGTACCTGCGTTAACGATGATCTCGCAATCACCAAGCCGGTTATGAAGTTGAAGCCAGCTGCGGCTGCTGTGACCAAGACAATGGAAATCAAAGTCTTCCGCAATGACTCCGGCATCATCCAGTGGTCGCTTGATGGCGTGGACTTCCGCGGTAACTTCAACAAGCCGACGCTTCTTCAAGCCAACAAGGGCAACCTGACTTTTGACGCCGACTGGAATGTCGACAATTTCGCGAATAACGGCAGTGTTCGTGTGGTAGTTAGCAACAACAGTCCCGCAGCGTGAGTCCAGTTTTTCTCAATGTTATTGACGAATAGTAGAGACTGACACTTGGCTAGGCATCCGATGCATCTGCACGGCTTCAACATGTATATTCTCCACGAGGGGGATGGGCTTACCTGGGATGGGACAATTACAAACCCCGAGAACCCGCAGCGTCGTGATGTCCAACAAGTTCGCGCCGGCGGACACATGGTCATGCAGTTCGACTCGAACGAGAACCCCGGAGTGTGGCCTTTCCATTGCCACATTGCTTGGCACGCTTCTGCTGGTCTGTTTGCCCAGTTCTTGGTACAGCCAGACAAAGTCAAACAATTCCAGATCCCTCAGAAGGTCGCAGACACTTGTAAAGACTGGCAGTTGTGGACACAGAGCAACATTCCGGAGGTAATTGATAGCGGCCAGTAAAGGCCGAGCCTTCCATTTCTTGTCCATAATCTGTTTGTTGTACGTTTCTTGGTGTGTATCGTTATGTGGGAAGTTTTTTCGGGGCAGTACTTAGGAGACACAATTGTATACATAGGTAGAAATTAGATTTTAAATCTAGATAATATGGTAGATTTGCGATGTGATATCTTGAAAACCTAGTGGTGAAACGATTGCATTCAACCACACGATCTTGATCATGAAATGATTTTAGTAGCCTATATTTACAGATCTAACTGATCCAGTAAGCTGCGGGAGTTGTCTATAAGTTTTAAGCAAGTGGGTTCTCGGTCAGAAGGCCCACAAAGAGATTGATAGCATGGTGGACAGTCAGGTGCAGGAGGCGTCTGATGCCATCGCCTCTGCCGCTGCTCCAGTTTTTCCATGAATGCTGATAGGCATTTGTCGCTCTGACCTTCACCTCCGAATATTTCTGCTTTTACTATATTGCGCATGATTTTTTTCCATTCGGCTGGCACGATTCCGACCGAATACAAGTCTTTTGAAGTCCCTACAGGCAGTTCCAGGTGGCTGTAAAGAATCCGGGACGCGCCGTGTATAGTAAGCCGTTTCCTCTCTCCAGCTTCTGTAGCTCGATCTGCCTCGTCGTTGATATAGGCTATGATTCTCCGAAACGACTCAGAAAGACACAAGCATAGAACGCCGAGTAGAGCAGCATTTTGAATGATCGAGAAATAACGGTGAGGACATCGCTCACAATTGAGGACTTGGGTGGCCGACTCGAAAGTATCTCGCAACAAACTGAAGTCATCTGGAGCTATCATTTTTTCTTTTATCCGGAGGTTTTCCAGCAAAAGATATAGTACCGACAGACAAGCGCAACTTGCGGCCGCTGGCTGCGAAATTGCGTCGAGTGGTGGAAAACCCGCAAGGCCCTCGGAAACTGCATTCTGGAAAACACTTTACTGATTGTCAGCTACGTAAGCTTTTGGAGGGATTGATTTCTATGCAATATCAAGTAACTGGATTCTCACCCTTGCTCATCCTCCACATCGACAGCGCCCTGATGTGTCACAAAAGCTTTAGAGCAGGCCATGCCTCGAGATATATTAATGGGAGGCTTCTTAATGCAGAAGTCGCTGCCGGTTTGTTGCATAGCGCTGATTCTGGGGCTAGAAGCTGAATCCGCCAGTTGGTCATAACTGAGAGAAGACAAATGTATCGTTGGGGGCTGCCTTGATAACAGCTGTTCTCGATTGTTTATCCGGGCTGATTGCGGTCGTATCCGCCTGGTTATTGGTCGACCCATCGGCTTCCGCGGAGAGTAGTGACACTCTTTATCATCGAGGCTACATCTGGAGCACGCTGGATGCTCTCCAGAGCACTTGATCTTCTTGATTCCTTACCTGCTATGTCAGAGTTGCCCACAGTGCAGGGAAGAGTTGTGCGTACGGCATGAGTCACAAGACAATCGAAGTCCCGAGTTCTTAGACGACACAATCCGGCTCGCCATTGCCAAGTTTACCTAGCATGTATACGGAGAAATCAAACGGTGTTGTGTGTTGTCAAGGAGAGTGAAGATACTCTCCAAACTTTGTTGGGTTCTCATGCCGGATACTTTTAGTAATAGTCATCCAGACTACGCTCATGATTGGGGAAAAGTCTCCGTTTTAGGTAGACTACTTGCGGCTCTGGGGTTTGGGTCCACTTTGAACCGCGACTCCACACATCCTACCAAGCGCCCGGTCAATTTACTGAATATTCCGAAACACTGGGTGTCAATCTCGCAGACTGTAAAACCGCATAACACGCTGTATTCGGTGTATCTGTCTTCATTTATATTCCTGTGACTAGAAGCATGCTGCAAAATTTAGGGCCATGATATATGTTAAGATTTGCTGCACTAATCGTGACACCCGTTTGAACTCACCGCCGGAATTATGGTGAGACCACCACGCGGTTGAATTGAAACCGTGCTGGTCGCTGTTGGGCCAGGCAGGAAACACTGCCCAGAATATACCATCAAAATTCATGCAACACAATAGAGAAACATCATAAAATAGGCAAAGTCCGTGAGGCTATTCTACTTGCCTACTACATTGATCAGTTACAGATACTGTGGTTGCAAAGTGATGGAAGAACCGTGGAGTTCATCAGAGGGCGGCTAGTCTTTCTTTCACCCGATGGACCACATAGTGTAGTGTGGCACAAGGGTGGGCTGATCACGCTCCTAATGGAAGTCCAAGGGTATATCATTTCAAACATATACTTATCTCTTGCTGTGAGCCTCTTCAGATCGTCTTTGACAGCCTAACATGTCCGAGAGCATGTGCAGCCAAAAGCTACCTATGACCGAGGTAAAAGCGTCCCGTTCTTGTTGTCTACGGGGAATACGCCAAAGACCATTGGGTTTCGTCATGCACTTGGAACGCGAAAGGGAGAAACCACTTTCATACTACGATTCTGCAAAAGAACTCAAAAACCTGTGGGGAGCGCGAACATCAACTGATAGAGTTTCTGCTTACTCAGAGTTCTCCGGAGCTCCGGCATCCACAGCTCATATTGAGGGCAACGGATTGTGGCCAAACCACTTATCGGTTAGCAATCAATAATAACCTCGAGGCATTTCTTCTGAGAAAGATTGATCATGTCGTCTCTGGGCGTGATTTTCTTGTTCACCTTGCACCCATGCATACTTGCTTTATTGCTAGCCTCTGCGGCTCCCAGGACTAGTCTTATTCTGCGCCTCAATGCCATAACAAGGTTTACCGTACTCCAATTGTCTTGCAAATACAAAACGCTGTTGCAGGCGCCTGCTCGGGCGCCTGCCGAGCTTACTGACATGAGACTAACATAATGGGAGGTCTAGGCGTCATAGCAACAAACAACTCGCATGCAGACATCCGCAAACTTTCAGTTTAGACAAACCCAGCACTTCTCCAATTGACTTGCGGACCCGCACCTCCCATGAATGGCCAGCGTCCACATAGGGAAGCTGAGCGGCATATCTTAAAAGGAATTTGTTGCGGCCTGCCGCCACGGCAGATTCATGCATGATCAGGTCAAGACCAGCATTTCTATTTTGATCTCCCAAACGGGAAGCAGCCGTAGAGGATGTCACACATTACGCAAGTTTCATTACTGATCTGACACCCGAATGATTACCTCGTCCCCTAAAAACTACTATCGCTTAATAGGTATAAGAAGGGCTACGAGTCTCTGATCTGCAAGCCGGATCGCTCATCAAGCTACACGCTGTTCAGTCGCGAAACTCGAATCAAACCCTACCAATCAAGTTGATCGAAATGTCTGGCCCACCTAATATGGCACCCACGCGGGTTATTCTGGACGTGGTGGGAGATGTGCCGGACTGGAAGGAGGAGTACAAGAAGTTCCTACTCTCTGTAAAAGACTCCGAGGGCTATTTTCGCTACCGATGGGGTCCTTGGAAGGAGGACCCTAGTAAATTGGAAATAATGGCTAGTAAGTCTTTCTATCATCCTTCCCTGATCCCCCATGGCCATCAAAGAATGCTTCTCAATACTCACGATTATGCGCTCTCTCACAGCGTGGGCCCCTCTCGAGACGCGTGCGGCCTTTGGAAAGTCTCCGCAGCACCAGAAAGCAATCGAGGCACTGAAACCAGTTCTTGCCGGACCTATGCCCACCAAATGCCCTAGGTTTGATCTCGACCTGAACACATTCGTGCCTCCGCCGCCTCAACTCATCAATAGCCCTATATGTGAGATTATCACAGTCCGCCACTGTAACGGTGACCCCAAAGAAATGGGTGCAACACTCAAAAAGGTAGAGGCTCTGCCAGGTTGCTTTGCCTCTCACTCAGGTATCGCGGCAACGAACACGCCTGACCAGGGCAATGTTTGGATTGGTTTTGTGGGATGGAGGGACTATGAGTCGAGCGAGGAGGCTGACAAGTCGGTTTATATGCCGCACGGTGTTGGAGAACTTGAGAGTCACCACATCAACTTCAACTTCCCTATTAAGGGATTCTCGGTTACCAACCCTGGTAGATGAGTGGCTCCCATGGACGTGTGGGTTCAAGACTACTGTGGATCCAAGGCTATGAATCCACAACTCAACGTACCTTGCTCCTTTCGTATGCAAACATATACATTCGCCAGATTTAGCTGAATAATAGTACCGTTATGGAACGAAAAGAAATACTAAAAATCAAGGTTATTTTGTATTCGTTTTGAGACTGAACTGCCTAACTGTGGCCTACAGTTGTTGACGTTGATGTACGTAGCTGCTTGAAGGTAAACTTCAAATCTATCCGACACATTAGACCTGAGCGGCTTGTCGCAAATCGCCAATACCTAGTTACCAAGCGGACATTGTGCCGATCCTTTTCCATAAAGTTTATGCACGTGGACGATCTTTGGCAGCCAGTTCTTAGCAGTCGGTATCGAGCCGATCAAGGCCTTAACGCTGATCAATATCACATCCGCCTCTAGGCAAAGCAACAGCATGGCACTGACCCTTGTGCTCAACATCTCAAATATGGCCGGAAACGTGCTACAACTGTCAACATGGAACCTCACATGCATCAGCATATTAACTTTAGTTGATCATCAAGTCTAAAAAGTATTAAACAGTCAAACAGCGCTACAACCTAGCTCTGACCTCGGGAAGCTTGATACAAACAGATTGAATCATGTTCTGCAAATAGGACACTAGCCCACAACATCACGGCCGCTCAAGATTTCAAAGAGATGCTGACACTGTACTGGAAGTCGATGCATCACAGGCTGACCCCAAAGTAAGGTCAGGCATCTCGAATGTACTGCGTGGTATCGACGATAAGATAGGGAAAGACTTGAGCCACATGACCCTATATTCTAGCCTAAAAACATTCTGATGAGTTGCCGGCCGACGTTTCCGGCTCATTCCGCAGTACTCGCATAATTGCTTTTTGATGAAGCTCGGTGCGTGGAACATTTTAACTCGAAAGTTGCTAGTAAGTCAATCAACAGTTTACGTCACGGCATCAAGTCAACAAAGCTTCGGAATGCGCAGCCAACAGCAACGGACTGATTCCTTTCCTTTCTTCATGGCCAATTCATCAATTTAGAGATTTCTATTCTTCAACTTTTCCCTGCATCATGCTTATGGCTTGATGTTCTTGACTGCATGGTCAATTGCATACCCATACCCGTGGATCCCGAATCCCATAATAACCGCCACTGCCTTGTCGCTCAGGTAACTGTGATGCCGAAACGATTCTCTTGAATGCGTGTTGCTGATGTGAAGCTCGATGAAGGGAATTGCTACCCCCAATAGTGCGTCGCGGATCGCAACGCTCGTGTGAGTGTATGCCGCTGGATTGATGATGATCACATCGACGTTACCCCTCGCCGCATGAATGCGGTCGACGATGGCGCCTTCTGTATTTGACTGGAATGACTGCAAGTCTGCTCCCAGCGACTTTGCGTGTTCTTTTGATGATACTTCAAGCTGCTCGAGAGTAGTCGAGCCGTAGATGTGTGGCTCGCGGGTGCCCAGGAGGTTCAGATTGGGGCCATTGATGAGGAGGATTGACTTTGCCATGGTGACAATTGTTTTGCAAATCTTATCTCTTCAAATCGATCAGGGTGTGATGTTGGTTTGTAAAGACAGTCCTGGAGAAATCAAGTATTGAAGTAATCATTTGTGGTTAAATGATTTCCCCGGTTCCTCCTCACAGGACTCCACGTGAGCCCCGTCACTTCGGCCACTACGAAGGTTGGAGCGGGGAAGCAGATGCGGGACCCCGCGATCCGCAAGCGGCAAAGTCTTCATCCGTCGGCACCGGCTTTAACAGTCAAAGCGCCGATGAGCGGAGTTTTGTCAACACATTATCGTCAGCTTAGTAAGAGATTCATTTCCTTTACTATGTATTCTGAACAGCAACCGTGAAGTAGTGTCAATCCGCTTAATTACTGCTATCGATTGTTGGCGAGCTATCCTCGAGCATTCGTTCGAGCTTTCCTGCTATTGTACATCTACTTTAATCTGGGTGTATGCTTCGTTTTACTTTACCATTCCAGTCCGCAAAAGAAACTACTTGCGCTTCACTCCTTGCCCCTTCGGCACTCTCACCAGCCAGTACAAGCCACATGCAGCCACAATGTTGAAGCCAATGTACACCCACAAAAGACCAAAGTTTCTCCATCTGTCGTCGTACTTGATTTCTAAAGTCGCAAGGTAGTCGTCTGTGGTGCTCATCCGGCAGTAGGCACAGAAATCTGTTGCGGCAGCATTGACGATGTACCCACCCGCACGCTGCACGAAAGGACCAAGGAACTCGCCGCATGTCATGTTGGCCGGCACCGGAACGGACACGAGTTCCTTGGCCGTGCAAACAACCTTGGACCCATGCAAGCAGGCCGACAATGCTCCGCTGGCAAGGTAGGTCATCGGACTGACCCAGTACATAAAATCGCTCCAGATAGCAGGAAGGTCGGCACGGAGGACAGTCACACCGCAGAAAGCCATGCAGAGGATAGCGAAGAGACTAGCTGGGATACTGGCCAGGTCAGCTGTCTCTATGGCTGCGATTGCCAGTTGCGAAAAGGTGCTCATCCAGAGGAAGAACATCCAGATGAATAGGAACACAGTGAAGCCGCGAATAGTGACATCGTCGGCGGTGGTGTTGCGGAAGAACCTGGCGGGATAATACCAGCAGAAGAAGAACATGATAGCCGCGATCGTGTTCCAAATCATTTCGATGACAATGTTGGACAAGAGATACGCTGGAAACAGTCAGCATTGTACTGCACGTCACCGGCAACATTTTAACTTACTGGTCCACCGGTAGACGCGCGACGGCCGCTCCCGCACCTCATACAACGCCCTCTGTGGGATGAACATTGGCATAATCTGCTTGCTAAATTCGTTCACTGTGGTAAGACACATGAAGAAGGCATACAGTTGGTTCTGCAGGCCCTGCAAGCTGTTATCAGACTTGAAGGTGAAACCAATGTAGAAAGCCTAAATGTTCATGGTTAGTTATTGCTAGACATGATGGCAGAAAAGCCTTACCAAAAAAATTGTCAGAGTGAATTTTGACCAAATGTAGACAGGCGATCTCCAAAAGTGCTTTGCAGTGCGTGCAAAAACATGCTGGAACTGCGTCCAAAATGAAGATGCGAATTCCTTATGAGCAATCTCGTTGCCCGCCTTGTCCAATGGGAGTTGAACCGTGCCTTGCTGACGCAGAAGTCTGAGCTCATCCTTTACTTCATGGTACTCTGGGGACGACCGCCAAATGTCATGCCAGTTTGGGCCATCTTCAGACAGTGTGGTGGCCTGTAGCATCCATTCTGCAGGATTGGCATCCGCAGGGCAACTCGGTGCGCCATTGCGCTCAAGATAATCAATCATGGTCGTAGCATTGTCGCCAATGTCTTTGGTCCTGTCAGCAAGTATTCAGATCACTGGATGGAACAAAGAGCCTCACCTCCAAAATATACCGTTTTACCACCGCGTTGCAGCAGAAGAAGCCTGTCAAAGCGAGAGAACAACATTGCAGACGGCTGATGAATGGTGCAAAGAACCGCCTGCCCGCTCTTTGCGAGCTTCTCGATGAGGTCGCAGATTGCCCAGGACGTCTGGGAATCAAGTCCTGACGTCGGTTCGTCAAGGAAAACTAGGAGCTGGGGTCGAGCTGCAAGTTCGACGCCAATGGTCAAGCGCTTGCGTTGTTCCACGTTGAGTCCCTGGCCAGGAACTCCAATGACGGCGTCCACAAACTCGCTCATGTCGAGCAGCTCGATGACTTCATCGATGTAGGCGAGCTTGGCTTCGCGTGGAATTTCGGCGCTTTGCCGTAGCAAGGCACTGAATTCAAGTGCTTCTCGGACCGTCATTGTATCCATGTGAACATCTTGCTGTTGAACGTAGCCGACACGGTTGGGGAGTGATCTGTCTGTTGGTCGACCATTGACCATCGTGTCGCCAGAGAGAACGCCCATGGTAACTCTACTTGCAAGGGCGTCGAGTAAGGTAGTTTTCCCAGCACCGGATGCGCCCTACACAACTATCAGCAAAAGTTTCAGGCTTGGCCTATATATCACATACCATGAGAGCCGTGATGACACCCGGTTGAACCCAGCCATCCACGTGATCCAGGATGCGGCGGTCCTGGTTCTGTATTTTGACGTCGTAGCAGATATCTTCCCAATGAAAGATTGGCTTTCCACAGGCGCTAGGCCTCGGTCTGGCCTCACTCATCTTCTCTGTCGGTGGCGGAGACACTTTCTCGATTAAAGTCACCCCACGGGACTGGCTTTCTTCGTCCAAGCCTGATTTCTCGCTGAGGCCAGCAGGCAGTTTGCCGCGTCGGAAGACTAGAACTTCGCCTTCACTCTTTGGCGGCTTGGCAAACTCTGCCGTGATGATGTAGGTAATAAAGAAGAAGACCACATAAGCAGAAAGAATTCCAAAGTTCCTAAGACTGGTCAGATCAATCCTCAAAAGGGGCTCTGACTGAACTAACCTCCACTTGTTAGCGTTGAAGTAGCTGAAAGATTGCTCAATGTATTGGTCGCCGTCAACCATGTCCGATCCCGGTACAGCTCCGACCACAGCGCAGGTCCGACCTGCTATGGGAAGATCATCGTATCCATTGCCCGAAGGCACTAGACCAGCACAGCGAAACTGACGGCCATGAAACTCGTTTGCCATGAGTGATTCGAAAGCATAGGATAAAGGGTTTATGTAACCCATCCAACGGGACCATCCCTGCATGTAGGATGTCGGAACGGTGAAGCCTGCGTACATCATAACACCGATAGTCACTAGGGTGACAGGTACCATGGCCTGATGCGACGTGCGTGCAAGTGACGCCATGGTTCGATAGATCCCAGACATTGCTAACAGGACCATGAATGACATGAGACAGAAGAAGAAGAAGGGGCCGGGTTGACGGTTCAAATTCGCCATGAAGTAAAGTATAGAGTTGAAAGTGAAGACATTGGTGATCTTGTATGGCAATTCGGTGATGTAGCTGGAGATCGCTTCAGCAGATTGATGGTATAGTGCGTATCTGTTGTGCTTCTCGATGACAGGCCTTTGGGCATAAAGGGTAAGAACCTACATGTTGATTAGCCGCCATGATGCGAAGAAGAAAAGAATAAACCGCTAGTGCAGGATGAACATGAAATTAGAGAAAAACTGACCTCCATCTCGCTGGCAAAAGCATTAAAAAGTAAAGCGAAGAAGATCAAGCCGCCCCGGTAGTAAAACGTGCTAGTGTCGGCCTTGAGGTTGTAGAACATGCTCCCAAGGACGAGCCCTACAATGATGTTGAACACGAGCGAGGATATCGTGAACTCGGGATCGGCTACCAAGCGCTTCCACCCGCGCCAGAGGCATAGTTTGACTTGGCGTGGGTAACTGATCGTGTATGGGGACTTCAGCCGTGACCACGAACTCCTTTCGGCTTTGACGCTCTCTTGAAAAGCCTGAAGACGGTCTTGCGACGGGTGCTCGCTATCGTATCCATCAATCTTTGCAGCTAGAGCTGCATGATGTTGTGATTGCTTCCATCGCCTTGCAAACTCATCGGAGGTTCGGGGCGCAATATGCTCATAGCCAGGTCTGATCTGCCGTTCGTTCGGGAGGTCATAGAGGTAAGGAAGTCGGGCGTGGTCTGTCGCTCAGGACCTAAAGAACATCGAGTCAGAACCAAGCATCGAGAAAATGCTGCACATATTGTACATATTGTACCTACAATGAAAGCCCAAGTCTTCGAAGTACTTCTTCGCCTGGTCAACCTTGCCAAAAAAGACTTGTCGTCCCTCGTAGATCACCGTCACTTTGTCAAACAGCTACCAACGGTCAGTCACCAACGCAATGCTTGAAGTTGATACTTCTGTGACAAGACATTTACGACTTACATCATATGCAGATTGCGGCGCCTGATAGATCGCCACAACAGATGCAACGCCCAGTAAGTCCGATTGTGTGCGAAGGTTCTGACAGAAAGCAATAGCGTTCCCACTGTCGAGACCTCGCGTGCTATTGTCCCAGCATTGGAACTTGGCGCCAGTCAGGGCAGCCTCGACAATGCTGACTCGCTTGCGTTCGCCTCCAGACACGCCGCGGACAAAGTCATTGCCGACTTTGGTGTTAATAGTATGTGAGATGCCAAATGCTGCCATCATCACATCGCGCATGGTACGGGCATACTCGTTACTCGTCATCCCACCGGGTACCCATGCTGGAACTCTGGCTCTCGATGCGAATTCCAGCGTATCTCCAACTGACAAAGGCGCCAGATGGACATCCACTTCAGCGTTGTACAGGACATCGCCTCGGAACCAGTTATGCATGCGCCTCGGTTCGATTCCTACCCAAAGTTAGTTTGATTATCATTGCGACCAAACACTCTCTAACCTCGAAAGTTCATGTACGACTCTTCGGCAACATTAAGGCCCTCTTTTTGGCCGGACAACGTCTTCAGAAGAGTCGAGCAGCCCGATCCTGGAGGACCCAGCACGAGGAGCATCTCGCCGGGCTCAACGACGCCCTCGAAGTCCCTTAGGATATCGATGCGTCTTTTTGACCTTCCTGTCGCAAGCCCGACGATATCTGATGCCATACTGAGTGCAAGATTGCCCGCGCTTTTTTGATACTGGGACCCTGAGCTGTAGCCAAACACATTAAGATTGCGAAACGCGACGCCAGTAAGTCTATTAGGTGCCGATTTGGGATCGGACTCGTAAAGCTCGATGAATGCTTTTGTCCATGATGCAGGTTCGAAATTTGCGGAATTAGGGTCTAAGTGGCTATTTTTTGGAGGATTCAGGACGTTGACGTGGGCATTGGCTGCATGGTGCTGGGAGACATTGGTGACTCGGCGGGCCAGAGTTTCGATCTCTTGGTGGGTGCTTTCGGCGGCTGTTAATGTCGAAGAGTCGAGACTTTCTTCGAAAGAATCCGAAAAATAAACATTTTGTTCGTCTGGTGGCATGGTTTGTGTTACAGCGGATGAGTTCGTGGTGAGCTCCAGGTCGGGTGTTCCTGTTGAGCGTAGAAAGGGTAGTTCCGCAAGGGCGCTGATACTTCGTACGAACAGCTGTTTGGATGATTTCGATCTATTTTCCGTGACTTATCTGATGTCCCGACTCTGGAAAAAGGTCATGGTGTGTTATATGGCGTGTTCAAATCCAGCACTGCCTGCACCGGTGTCCCGCGGTACGCCGTTCGAGGCCGCATTAGGGAGGCTCCTTGGCGGCGTGGGGAGGGTTCGACTCCGCAGCAAATGGTTCAGGGATCACCTTTTAACGAACCCATTCCGTGCATACGGAGACTGGCCGTTCCCAGGCCAAAGCGGTGGAATTGGGTCAGCTGCGGTGACCCATGTTGTGCGGACGGCCGCGGATGGCCGAAGGACTATAAGCTCAATCGAAGGTGGGGCATCCGCATCACGCCCAGAACAGAATCGCAAATCATGGGCCCCTAAGGTTGCGAGCCCGAGAGCTCACTCACAACGCCAGCGTTGAGTACCGACAGAATGGCATCATTAATGTCTAGCCCCGGAGGCCTAAGGTTCCGATAAGCTTCAGCCTTACCAACCTCTTGTTACGATGCCAACAATTGCGGCTCTTGTTGTTGTTGTTGTTGTTGTTGTTGTTGTCCGCTTGTCTCCGTGAATACTACCCTGGTGCAACTCCCTGCTGCCAGGTGATCTGCTGTTCACCTCGAGCTGGAATGACGTGCGACAAGCTCAAGGCCACGAAGATCGTTTTGGAGTAAGCTCGTGTCGTGTGCTTGAGGTTCCTTAGTTGAACCTTGAGCGAGCGCTATTCGTTTGCATATGCACACGACAAGAAGGATCGATGATATTCCAAAAAAGGATGAGTGGCTACAAAAGGTCGTATCTCAAAGCGCGGATTTCCTTGGCATGATGATAAAACGAAGTGAGCGCAAGGGCAATCGAAGACTAAACGTCAAACGCGGATGAGGACAACGTACTGAAGTTTCGGGGGTTGAACGATGCGACGAGTGACTAGACGAGGAGCTTGGCAAGACTGCGCTTATTACCAGCGGACATACCGTGTTCTGACTGTTAGGTTACTTGGCAACAAGCGTCGCGCAAGTTTTGCGCGGAAGCCGTGATTCCAGTTCAGTATTCAAGGGGGCAAAAGCGGATCTACCGATGTGGGTACCGTCCAGGGACGCATCATCCCGCGGACAGCACCGAACTGTACTCGGCCCAAAAAGCGTTTTCCACGTGTTCTAGAGATTTACACAAGTAGCCACTCGTACTTCATGATGATAGTCTTACAGAATGTTGTGTGCCAAACCGCAAATTCGTCCCTTTTTGTCAAGGAAGTCACACCTCTCATGTTACTACAAGTCGTACCTGCATATCCTCTTTACATTGACCACATAGAGTTTCATAAGCCATCAAAATTCGTCCCGTTCATCCCGTTCATCCCTCATCACAGTGCCATAAAAAAGTCATTGATCCTGTCCAGCCCACCGCTCGGCAACCCGAGAGGTCACGAACACCCCCGCCGCCAGAATAGTGAAGCCTGGAGCAAACAACAGTAGGATGGCTACCACAACCAGATTGGCGAAGAACTCCGATGATCCGAACGGCGGCGCTCTTCCAATAAATCCCGGGCCCATGGTGTGGACCTTTACATTCGCCCTAGTCTGCTTTTGAACCCTTGATGGTTGGATCTCTGCAGGCTGGGGCGATGAGTCCATGTTTTGCAGGTTGCCGAGCGCATAAAATACGTCTGTGACGAGAGGTTTGTTTTCCTCGTCGACAGTGATTCCGGACAGCCACGCGCGGATATTCTCGTGTGGGTCTGACGATGATACCCCGTGATCTCTGAGTGGCTGGGGGGTTGGGTGGCCTTCCATGTTCACCGCATGGCCATTTGTGATAGTTGTTCGGTCATCTTCATAGATGAAGGAGCATCCGTCTGGCCTGGCGTGAGCGGCTGTGGACGCAAATGGGCTTTCGTGGCGCTTACCGAAGTGATCCGCAAAGTTCATGATGCTTGTGAAGATTGAAATGCTGCAGCTAGAGACTTTCGGGTCGGATGACAGAACAGGTTTGGAACGAGGTGCACGAAGCAATACGTTGATCGCGGTTGGCTGACGAGTTTGGTCTTGCTCTGCGTTCGGCGAAGTTAAACATCACCACGCCCCGGATCTCCAAGATAGAAGATTAAATCATAGTCTTGTTGATTGTTTGGTTGACACGTGCGTTGTCTGGGAGAAGGGGGGCGAAGGGAGAGGCGACGACACTGGAATGCTTCATCTAAATAGTGGCACTAATCCGCGTCAGTGACTCAGGGTCATGGCAAGATTCTCCAACCATTAACTTAGGCCACTTGAAAAATGGCCATAATATTTCGGGAAAAGACTAGCCTCGATTTCTACAATAGACAGACCCATAGATAATTTGCGAGATGGCAGCCCAAAATTCGATAGATGTAGAAGAAATATCATTGGCCAGTCCTCATCCAACACATCGAGACTTTGGAGGCCTCGATCAGTGGTAAACTGAGAAAGGCCCCCGAATGCGTCCTCAACAAAGGCCTCCCTTGACATGAGCCTTGCACTGGCCTTGAGACCCCCTGGTATCGAAACTGCACACAAGAACATGGCTTTTGGTAGCATATCTGCAGATGGTTTCTTGTTGTTATAGAAGGGTTGAACTACAAATCCGCACGTCATTGGATGTTGTCTTCTAAATGCTAAGTTCACTTATAGCAAACTTTAAGGAAAGTTAACCTTGAGACAGACATGCTTACTAGTTACAGCATGATGCGTCTTAGGGTTGCATCGTTTGATAGCTGAGATAGTTGAAGACTTTCTCATACTCAGGAAGACTTACGAACCGCTTTCAAGATGGAAAGGCTTCATAGACCTATCATCCACGTTCTCTCTCTTTAGCCTCCTTCACGAAGGAGATGAAACCGATGGAAATCTTTGCAGGTAGGCCTGTCATTTGCTCCAAGGAACAACGTGTTTTTAAATAATAAGTCTTCTACAACGTCAATTACTTCTCACTTGATGTCTCTAGATATCTCACCGTACGCTTCCCAAGTCGCTATGAGTCTAGAAGCAAACAAGCTGTTGGGCTGTCTCCATCTTGCTTATTGAGGGCTGCCCTGAACAGTACAAAATTTAACAACGTTGGGAGCGTGTGATAGTATGTTATGCCTGGCGTTTCGGGTTAAGACACTCGGGTTGGAAATGCCGTCTCGACATTTGGCCTGATGAGTAGCGGAACTTTGCCAGACTTCTTTTCTGGCAAATTGCATTGCTGGAGGCGATGACGATCATACGTGTCGTAGAAATTTGTTCCGACTCGGAGGCTCTTCATCTGACCATCCATTAACGCAACTAGTTCAAACTCCTCTTTTAGGTATGGTGGATGTCCATACTCTCCCTGGAAGGGTTGCTATCTTGGGACTCACTCATTTCGACTAGGATTGGTGTTGTAGTAGGTCAAACGCCTGAAATAGCAAATATTTTTTGTTGGTCAAAAAGCCCATAATATACTGGCCACGGAGTGTCGTCGATTTCAATTTGTTTAGATAGTTTTGTATCCTTGGAAATGTCCTTCATCGGTGATGGCTCATGGTAAGCCATGATGACCCGGAAAGGCAAGTAGGCAGCGAAACACCTGGGCAATAACGGTCTTACCTTTCCAACGGTCTTCCAGCTATCCATCTAGCCTCATCACTTTACGAGGTAGATAAGACATCGATACAACTTTTGGCAAAGTAACAAACCTACTAGACAGCGCGGTCCTCGGGTGAAATCATAAAGGGCAAAGACATAGAAGATTAGAGGGTCTTTATATTCCCACCCAGCCTATGCAAACATTAATCTCGTCATCCTCCCCTTGTTTCGCCAGTAATCTACAGCCACTCCCTCCTTGTGCTCATGCACATTGAAAGCCAAGAGGCCTAGAAGCCCACAGACAGGTATGCAAGCGCATGATGAGCGCATGAGTCCCGTCCTTCGAGCTGGCGCAACTGACAGGCGGCTGCTAGCACATTTGCCTGCAGCAGGGGGAAAAAAAGTGTCATCTCGGATTGGTTTTTTTGTGCCCAGTATAAAGAAAAAGTCATCGTCGTCCATCATCCCGTTTCCCATTCCTGGTTGGCCCAAAAAAGTCACAAAGAGAACACCGTGCTGCAGCGCGATAAAGTAAAACCTCGAGAAGAGGACTCGGCATAAAGTGAAAAGAAGAAGCAAAACGCCTTCCCCATCCATGTTTCCTCCAGCCGTCCCTATTGCCCGTGAGAAATAGAGACAAAGGGAAAGAAACGTCGTGCTCGCAATTCTTACAGTGAAAAAAAAAGGAAAAGTGGTAGGTACATAGGGAAGAAAAAACGACGGGATGAAGTCGGTAAGAAACGATTGACCGCTTTCAATGCAGGAAACGCCGTAGGTATGTGCAACGCCAGCGAGGAAGTGCGCTTCTAGAGAATCTCAAAAGGGAGAAAGTTCCCAGCGACTGCCGTCAGTGACGAGGAGTCGGTTCGGGTTGCCAGCCATTGATATATGCCATCAGGCCCATACCTATGATCACTACTCCAAGCATGGAGGCGTATGGGACGCCGGCCATCATGGCTTGGTCCTTCGCCAGCTTGCCCGGTGGTATGGTCAGTGGCGTGATGGTGTTGGCCCGCGACAGCGTAGGCTTATCGTTAGGATCGTCCACGGGGGACTCAGCCTGCGTAGGGGCTGGCGTCGACTCGCCAGATCCGTCGGTCTGTACTACGGTGGTAGTCGTCTCGACGGATCCATCGCCGCGACCGCGTCGCCCTCGGGACGGAGACCGAGTCTTCTCGGCCGCAGCTGCCGCCAGCCGCGCTTCCTCGTCTCTTCGAATCTGAGCAACCATCTCTGCCAAGGTCTTGCGGTCTGCGTCGCGTTCCGTCTCAGCTTTCTCGCATCTTTGCCTCCAAGCTTCCATCTGCTGCTTGAGGTCGCTCATCTCCGTCATCATGGTGTCAATCTTGACCTGAAAACGAGCAGCAATCTCTTCGGCGCTCTCCAGTGCCGGCTGCTTGACAAGCGGTTCGGCATCTGTCATTTCGATGTCATGAGTCTCCGGAGCCTCGCGGGGAGGCTCAAAAGCTTCTTCGAGTATGGTTTCAGTGTCATGCTCCTTAGGCCCGCCGTTGGTTTCCTTCAAGGCGCTATCCTCGAGAATTTTTGCCATGTCTTCGGCAAGCTCGCGTGCTTCGCGCTCTTTGCGTAACATGTCTTCCAAGTCCTTGATGCGGGCAGTCTGGGTGTCCATCTCCTTCTTAGCGTTGTTCAAAGCCTCGGTCAGTTGAATGATCTGGTGCAAGTTGTCGCGTCCAACAGGCGACGGGGTGCTGTTAGTCTTTGGTCGCTCAGTGGTACCTCGTTTTAGTGAAGGCACATCGGGCTTCTCTGGAAGGGGTTGTTGAGGCGGAGGGGCAGGCGGGTCGGAAAACCGTGTCTTCGCGTCGGTGCGGAAGGGCAAAGCGTTGCCATTAGGGAGCTGCTTAGGAGGTTCGGGTGCCTCGGGTTTCTCAAGGTCTTTGACATCTTCTTTGCTCAGTAAGGCATGGATAAAGTGGCCCGTCCGTGACAGGTCTTGAGACTGCAGTCGTGCGCTTCGCATCTCGTTCTGCATTGGTGTTAGTATTGAGGCAAGATATCTTTACAGTATTGGGTGCTCACGTGTAGCCTCTTCACGATGTGTTCCGTGGTAATGGGCGTTAGCAAAAATCCGCGAGCCGCTCCGCCGTTGGGGGCCATGCCAGCCATGTTCTGAGGAGCAACCATACGGCCGTTGCTGGCCATCGACGCGTTGCTTCCCGCCCGGCCGCGATACGGCAAGGGCCCCGACGCAGGCATCATCATGCTGCCGTTGGCCGGATCCAAATCGCCAAAGTTCATGTCCATGACGTTGCTAGAGGGGCTCATGAAGCCAGCGTGCTCAACTTTGGCGGCAACCTTGTGGTGGACGACGGTCTTTTGGTCCTCGCTCACGATATCGATTCCCAGCTCCAAATGATCTCCTGTCTGTAGTTCGTGTGGTTCGGATTCGCGGTTCTCTTGCGAAAGGCGCGTGCCGTTGACGAACGTTCCGTTGGACGACTTGACATCGCGAATGTAAATCTTGCCCATACGATCTGCCCAGATCTCCGCGTGCTGCCTGGATAGGACTTTGCTGTCAAAGTAGCCGTTCGTGGCAGTTGGAATCGTTTTCTGGTTGGTCTGACGACCAATACGGAGGCTCTCGGGGTAGAATGGCACTGAAATTGTCTTGCGCTCAAACGTGCCATTGAGCGATAACAGGTAGAGCACAGGCTGGCCATTGGGCATCGGATCACCGACAGGCCTTACTGCAAGCCCTTGTTGCGACATCATCTGCGGTTGCCCTGGTACGGTCTGCAGCGATGAGTTGCCGTTGATTCCGTTCATCGGCGACCGCATAACTGGCCTGCCGAATTCGGCCTGGCCTTCTGACTTGCCAGGCGGCCAGGGGCCTTTAGGCTGTGGACGCTTCCGCGATGCAGTGCTCGACCACGAACTCATGTCGGAGTTCGTGGAAGCCGGGGTGCCATTTGGTTGCGAGGCATTCGTAGCGACCGTGGTAGTTGACGAGTTTGACGAAGTGGAGGCGACCGACGAGGATGAGTTGCTCCGCTGCAGCGTCTTCCGCGGCACAAACATGCCTCTAACGTCTTCTGGATTCATCGAATTCAGACTTTGTCCGCCATTAACATTCCATCCCGGTCGATTGAGCTGCTGGAAGCTGGGAGGGCTCGCGACGGCAGTCATGAGGGAGTCTTGGTCGTGGCTGGGTAAGGATCGTGTGACGAAAAGAGTCGATGCGGACGAGAGGCAGGCAGGTAGGTGATGCGGCTCGTAGGTTATCGATAATCGGGGGTGGTTCAGGGGACGTCGAGGCTTCCTTCCTTCAACATTCGCACAAGCAACCCAAAGGGTATCGCAGGGATGGTTCGACGAGATGGATCGCGAAAATATCAGTTCGTACCGATGGATACAGTGGTGGTCGAGAAAGGATGAGACTGCGCTGGCACGTTAGAAAAATATGTCAGCGATGATGTCGCAGCAAGGATAGGGGTGGTCAGCCAATTGGCGCGACCCAAAGCGGCCTGGCACGGGGGACGGAAGGCCACAGCAAAGACGACCGGCCGAGGGAGGGTCAGACTGGGCGCGAGACATACCTGCAATTGAAAGGGAGCGAGCAAAGAGGAATGGATTTCCTTGGGCACCTCGTTCGACAATAGCTTAAGCAGACGTCGGGGGATCGGGGTGCTCCGTTGGTCTCGTAGGTGAAGTTGAATCTAGGATTTGGGAAAGAGAACAGAAGGTCTCGCCCCGTCTCGCTAAGCGCTTAGCGTCGTTGCGTGTGTGGGCGTGGAGGAACCACGGAACCTCAGTGCTGCAGACGGTCACGGACCAAACAGCGTTCGGAAACACGCGCCGGAGCCGACATGGGAGGGCGGGAGACGAGGGGGTTGAACGTCGAGTTGGATTGGGGGTTCGGTTCAGCTAAAGCACAGGCCCCGAGGCTGTCACTGATTCCACCATGGGCGAGAGGACGGCTCGATTTTCGTATGAACGGGATCAGTAGAAAGGGTACCAATGTCGGAGAAAAAGAGGAGGGAAACTGGTGCTGATCCCGGGCGAAGGCGGTCTGCCTTTCGTGGGGATCCACCCTCACCTGCCACCATTTGCGGCGCTTGTGGCAGTGTGCTGGCACCGAGAACAACTGGGACCACTAAGAGCACGTGACACTTTTGGCGCAAGTGGAAGGCAGGGAAGGGACACACGCTCTCTCTCTACAGTGAAGCTGATGTCATTCGTCGCGAGCAAGCACTGTGTTCCACATGGCCCTGCGTGGCCAGCCAACCAACGCAACCAGACGTGCCAGGCCGAGTGTTGGAGAGTCCCAGGTGGCCAGTGCATCGGGTGACCCTCGACATGGCCCACTCCCTTTTTTGACATCAGGGGCGGGGCCAACCTGTGTTTTGCCGAAGAACTGCCGCACCCCGGATTGGATTCGTCCAAAGCTCCAGTGGCGCTGACTGGGCTGGCTGCAGCAAATTGGAAGAGCTCCTCCAGCCCACCATCGCAAACATCGTGAACTCAAACGACTCGACAGGCTGAGCATCAGCAATAGTCCGCCTAGCCCTTACGACTCGACACGCGTTTCACCGATACTAAGCGCAGCATCCCTCACAACATGCCTCCTGTTCCCGCGCAACACGGTGGTGCCATGGGCCCCTCTGTCGCTGACAAGCGTACGCCCAAATTTCCCCCGAAGCTTTGCTCGAAGCTGTAGCTAATCCTTCACAGTCAAGATGGGCGCCATGATGGGTGGCAGTACGTTTAAAATTCTCTGTGCATGCGTTCGGGCACACAACTGACCTTTCCGTAGCTGTCGGGGCTGTCATGGGCTTCGTCTTCGGTATGCCGCGCCTCCTCAAATTCGTTGAATCGGCTGGGCTAACCCATCACCCCTTGGTAGGCTCGGTCAACATCATGCGCTACGGTGCTGGCCCTAACGGCATTATGAGAACTCTGGGCCAATACATGCTTGGTTCCGGAGCCACTTTCGGGTAGGTCAACATGCTCAGGCCGTCCGCTACCAAAGCTGACAGCACCCTTTCCAGTTTCTTCATGTCTATTGGCAGTGTCATTCGATCCGACGCCTCTCCCATCGCGAACGAGGCCTTCCGCAGGGCCCAGCGGAGACCCATCATCATGTACGGCCCCGGCTCCGAGTATTCAAAGCGTCAGCAATAGGCTAGAGGAACACGTTCGAAATACCCTGTACATCATCATGTAGGAAGCTAGTAGGCCGTCGCGAGGACGGCGAGATGTCCCACCACCGACATCTAATGGATATCTGTATAATAGGGTGTTGGGCGTATCACGACTACATGAGAAAAGTTTTGCATCTTCACAAGTGTGCGTATGGTCCTGCGGTTGCAGGAGCCTGTGTCTCACGTAGCCTCCTGCTCAGTTCCTAGAGACCGATGATAATCAAGGCGAGGACAGAAAACTGTCAAAAAACGGCTTTCCTGATTCGTTCCCGAAGACTATCCACATCTCCTCAGTCAAAAAGAAAGTTAACTTGTTAAATTTGGGAGCTGGAACGGTCTGCTGGTGAGCCGTCGACGGGTTGCACACAATTCTGTGAACAAACCTCAACCACAACTCCATAATAGTGCAGCAGAGTCGAACACGAGAGTTGCTGGTTACTTGCTGATTACTCTGGTCCTCTTTTCCTAGTCCATTTGGCCTCCGCTAGTCTACCAATAACTCAAGCCGGCTTTTCTCCATCCCACAGTTGAAGTCAACACTGCGCCAAGGACAACGTGTTATAGGATATGAAATTACCCGTTATACAACCCCCCGTTGATATTTGTGCACTATTGTACTGCAAACCCATTCTTACCGACCCGCCAAGTGCTATTCTAAAAACCCTGAAATCATGCGGAACTCCGCAAGACATGGCTTACTCAGCGTGCATGATGTTTTGGTGAACGGCGTTGTAGCGCAGCTGCTTCACTGCATGGTTCAGCCCGTTCCAAGCAGCCATAAACTGTCGGGTAAGCTCTGTCTTAGTCTAGCGTACGTACGAAGTGGCGCCGCATTTCAGTAACCAGACGTCTCTATGGTCCAGCTGAGAAGGCTAGACCTTGTGGGACAATTGAGATAACGGGGTTTATTGACACTTTGGTCTTGACAGCCGACAATTAGGCTCCTGTGGTACTTTAATTAAGCCCGCAATGGAAATAAAAGGGATTCGACGTCCGTCCTGAAGAAATAATAGACTCTTCTTGGAAGTCATCTCATGCGGTTGAGTCTCATTTCGGAACAGAACCAGATCACCTTTATCATGCTCTGGAGAACTCATCTGTGTTCCTTCGTCTTGGTCAGTATTGCAAGCGTCATGGCCGAACCCTACGACTACATGTAAGTTTGCCCTCTTGCAAACGCGACAAGGGTCCTCATAGGTTCTCTAGCATCGTCGGCGGCGGCACTGCCGGCCTGACCGTCGCAGCTCGCCTCACCGAAGACCCTCGAGTGACAGTCCTTGTACTGGAAGCCGGCGCCGACCGCTCTGAAGATCTAAATGTGCTCGCCCCGGGCCTGTTTCCCGCCATGTACGGCAACCCAGACTATGACTGGGACTACAAAACTGTTCCTCAGGTATCCCTATCACGGCCATGAGCGCTGAGCACGATTTGCTGACGCTTCCAGGCTGCTGCCAACAACAAGGTCGTCGCCCACATCCGCGGCAAGCAGCTCGGAGGCTCCAGCGCAATGAATTTCATGTTCTGGACGCACCCTTCCCGGCGAGATATTGATAACTGGGGCAAACTGGGTAACAAGGGTTGGTCTTGGGACGCGCTTGCTCCCTACTTCCGTAAGTCGGAGGCCTATGTTGCTCCATCGGCGCAGCAGACGAGCGACCTCCTTCTTGATTACGTTGATCCGAGGGTTCATGGAACCAGCGGGCCCATCGGCAACGAGTTTCCGAAGCTCTACAGTCCCTTTCTTCGGGCTTGGCCAAGGACTATAGAGAAGCTTGGCCTGGGTGTTAAGGGCGATCCCCGAGACGGCAAGGCGCTGGGGGGTTACGTCAACTTGCTCAACATCAAGAATGGGACGCGCAGTTATGCTGCGAATGCATACCTCGAACCAGCGCGTCAGCGGGCAAACTTGAGGGTTCTAACGGATGCTCATGTGTCCAGGATTATTCTCAAGAAGAATAAAAACAACGTCCAAGCGACGGGTGTCACGTGGACTCAGGGCAGCGAGAAGATCGAAGCCACTGCCTCAAAAGAGGTAATTCTGGCCGCGGGCTCCATAGCCTCGCCACAATTGCTTGAAGTTTCCGGCATCGGCAGCAAGATTCTCTTAGAAAAGCACGGCATCCAAGTCTTTGTGGATAACCCCAATGTCGGCGAGAACCTACAGGACCATATCTATGTCCCCCTTGGGTGAGCCAGTTCCTCTCGCCGATCTTATTTTGGAAAGCCGTAGACTGATGTCTTTCAGATTCGCTGTGAAGTCTGGCCTGCCAACAAACGAGGACTATGCCAACGAGACTTACTTCCAGGAGCAGCTCAACCTGTACCTCCAGACCAAAACTGGTCGCTTGTCATCGGCAGGCGCCAGCTCGGCGCTCTTGTCCCTCAAACAAATTGCGTCCACCCTGGAACTTGCTTCCCCCTCGCTCAAAAGCAATCTTCCAGGCCTAGCTGAACAGTACCGCCTCGTCCTCCAGGACTTGAAATCGGAGGCTGTCACTCAGGAGCTCACTATCGAAGGCGGCATCTCCCCCCAATTTTCCTCCGATACGACGAAGCTCTTCAACGCCGGATCATCTGGAAACTTTCTCTCCATCTTGGGAGTTCTCGAGCACCCTCTATCCAGGGGCTCCATTCACATTCAATCCGCTGACGCATCCATCTACCCGGAAATCGACCCACGCTACCTTTCCAATCCGCTGGACCTCCAACTTTTGAAGACTATCGCTATCCATCTCCAGACTATTGCGCAAACGAAGCCATTAAGCGATCTGCTTCAGGGCGAAGGTGCCGTTTTCCAACCTGGGTATCACATGCTCACAGCCGAGAACGTGGAGGACTGGGTGCGGAGCAGTATGCAGAGCGAGTATCACCCCTGCGGAACATGCGCCATGTTACCCAAGTCAAAGGGCGGTGTTGTTGATGAAAGGTTCAGGGCCTATGGAGTAAACAATCTGCGGGTGGTTGATGCCAGTGTGTTTCCCCTAATACCGAGGGCCAATATTCAGTCTCTGGTCTACGCGGTAGCAGAGAGGGCGGCAGACTTCATCAAGCAAGACGCACACTGAGGCTTTCTTCATCTTCTTTAGCAGGATTGGATTTAATTAATCCATGATTAACTGTTATAATGTACACTTCATTTGTGACCTCTCATTTAAAAAAGTAACGCCATAACCACAAGAGCGGCAAGGTCTGCTTAGAGACGCTGAGGTTGCCGATAGTGACGATCTCAGTGACTACAGAGCCGTTTGCAGCTTGCGGAACAGCGTATAGGATAGATTGGTCGCTGGTGTCGAACGCGGCTGTAAAGCCGTAACCTGGGGAGCAATATAAAGTTGCACATGATGCTTATCCTAGATAGCGTTTGGCTAGAGGGCGGAGTCAGCTGAGGGGCATGTTTTGTGGGCTATACGGCATGTGTAAATACTGGACGGGGCTGAGCCATGCCGTCAAAGACTAGGTGTGGCGATTTGCGGTGACAATACCTCATTGCTCTGCTATGAACCTTGCTTTTGGGTCTCACGGTATGAGTCGAGTGAGGATGGGAAAGGCAATTGAGTCAACAGTCGCGTACATCGAACGATGTTGTATGCCGACGTCTCACCCCACGAGCCTGTCCATGCATTCGGGTACGTAGGAAGTCAGGGCTATGGTGCATGATGACACTCAGTAGTTTGGATTTGCGGTATTCGACCTGCAGTCATATATTTTCTGGACCTGAACTATTACCTGGTTATGCACTGATGGTTCAGAGGTAATGGGGCCAAACCGGATTATCGACCCAGCTTGCTACGGGGTGAGGTTCCAGTGGAGGAAAGCAATATTTGAGGGGAAAGGCAATACTCTTGCAAGATGGAACTATGTTCCAGACCGTGTGGATCACATGTCTACTTAAGCTCTTCTTCACTCCTTTGGCGAAGAGCCTCTGACCTAAAATTATTTGATCGTAATACCATTAAGGCTTACATAGGTGGCGTATGATCTTATTTTGCCCGAGTTTCATCACATTACAGCTTGATGTTATCCAGCATCCTAATAATAAGTTCGTTTTGGCATACTTTGACGCTAGATCCCCCAAAGCTACGAGCTTGGCAAGTTGGGAAAGAAGCTTGGCACTTGGCACGGGTATGTTGGCCAAGCTACTGATCATCGTCAATTACTCCGGTAACAGCCTGGTACTGAGGTACGTAAAGGAGTTGTATTACCTTACGCGGTTATTGTAAATTTGATTGACAGATCTGATCTTCGCTAAAACGTCGATGCGAAAGGTAAATTGCAGATTCCGACCTGTATAGATTTGAACCCAGAAATCAGGGATTATGTATCTCATACAATCGAATTTATAATCGCGATCATCTGGGCCGACGAAAGCAAAATAGTAACGACCCCAAATACTAGATCGTCATTTGCACTTGCATCCGGATTGGACATTGGCCCCGTGATGGGCCACATCTGCAGGTCGACAACAACTATGCACGATATCGGGTCCGTGGACGGCGCATACGGGGCAGCGGCCGCACGGCAACCGCACAGCGCCCGGCGTTCCGGTTTGCGGGGCTTCGGCTTACGCCACCGGTGGTCTCCCGGTGGTTCAGCTGCAACATCTCAATCATGTTAACACATCACAGATTAATGGTTGGGAAGCTGTCATCTTCCTTACTATGTCAACGGTCCGCCCGGAATTGCGACGAGCCAGCGCCAGATACCGCAACCTCGAGACGTGCAGCAGGGGTTTTGTAAAATCATCCGCTAATCGATCTGATTCTTACCCTACCTCACAAGACGCCCAGACGCAGGTCTCTGTGAATCCAGGGAGTTGCGCCGAGGCTACAGCGGTATCAGGGTTACTTTTCGAGTGGTTGAGGTAGCGATATCCGGATCACGACACAGGACCCCGCGATGGCGACACACCCCACGCCAAGGGGGAGCGAATCAACAACGCTTCGCAGCACATCATTCGCTTCGGGACTCCATACAATCGTCGGAGTGTTATCTCGCAGCTTTCCAGTGTTCAGGATATTGTGGCCAACTTGAAACCTCCGTTAGCGCAGCGCGATGGCCACTTTATCAGGAAGCGAGATACATATATCAGGTACGGGATTCCCCTAAATCTTCACGGATGGATGCATTTTGCTTCTTTTTCTCAACTCAAATTTCCATCCTCTCGTCGCGCTAACCCATCGGATCCGGTAGAGCTCTCACCTCTGCTCAGAATGGGGTCAGAGCACGAATACGCATCCGCGTCTCCGAAAGGAGCCACGGTGGACGAGTCGTTTTCAGACGAGCACAATTCGGCAACAGTCGAGAAGAAGAAGGTGCCTTGGTGGGCATATATCTGGGATTACGAGCCGGGACGCTCACCGGAGGAACGCGTATTCATCCAGAAGCTCGATGTCTTCCTGATAACAATGCTAAGCTTGGGCTATTTCATCAAGAACCTCGATCAGACAAACATTAGCAACGCATTCGTCAGCGGCATGAAGGAGGATCTCCAGATGAACGGCAATGAAATCAACCTCATCGACACAGCCTGGACGGTCGGCTATGTTGTGGGTCAGATCCCCTCGCAGATCGTCCTCACCAAGGTACGGCCATCCATTTGGGTGCCCTCTTGCGAGCTGCTCTGGACAGTCTTGACATTTTGTCTGGCGGCTGCAAAGACCTCAAATCATGTTATTGCCATCCGTTTCTTCGTCGGTTTGGCAGAGTCCATCTTTTATCCGGCCGCTCATACTATCCTGGGATCGTGGTATAAGCCGTCTGAGTTGGGCAAGAGAGCGTGCATTTTCCACGCCTCCTCAGCTGCGGCCAGCATGTTCTCGGGCTATCTGCAAGCTGGCGTTTATCGCGGCCTCAACGGTGTGCATGGCCTTGCGGGCTGGAAATGGCTATTTGTAAGCTCTCCTCCCTCTTGATATGGCGTGCTTATAATGTGGGGACATGTCTCAGTGCTGACGTGACCTCGACTTTCAGATCATGGACGGAATAATCAGTTTGCCTATTTGTATTGCTGGATTTTTCTTTCTGCCGGATCTTCCAGAGAACACAAGAGCATTCTACCTAAATCAGAATGTGAGTAGTGGGACTTACATCCGACCACGGTGCACGATGACTGATGCCGACTAGGACCGAGACTTGGCCCGCAAGCGTATGGCGAGCGTCGGCCGTGCTCCTCGGACAAAGTTGGGACGCTCTGCCTTCAAGCGAATTTTTGGTCGGTGGCACGTTTATTTATTGACGATTCTCTACATTGTTTTTATCAACATCGGCCCGTCCAGCAGTGTCAACCCCTTTTCACTGTGGCTGAAGGCAAAGGGCGAGACTGTGGAGAAGATTGTAAGTTTATGCCATGACGATAATGGAAACCGACCCTACCAGGGACTAACAAGAACTCTTCAGAACATCATTCCTACAGCTGCATCTGCAATCCAGCTGGTTCTCACCGTCTCCTTCGCCATCGTCTCTGATGCAATTCGTCACCGTGCTAGCGTTATGTCCGTGTCTACTTTCCTCGGCGGTTTCGCAGCCTTGATTCTAGCCATCTGGAACGTTCCAGACGGCCTGAAGTGGTTCGCATTCCTGCTGCAGCGTGCTTCTGTGCCGTACGGACCGCTCAGCATGAGCTGGACTAACGAGATTTGCGGCGCTGATGCCGAGGAGCGCGCCATAGTCATTGGCATCATGAACTCATTGGGATACGCATTCAACGCCTGGGTGCCAATCTTGACGTATCCTCAAGTCGACGCCCCGACATTTAAGAAAGGTTTCATTTATTCTACAGTTGCCTTTGGTGCTCAAGCTATCATCACGGCTACCGTGGCGTACCTTTACAAGCGCGAGAGGAAGAAGCAGGGAATCGCTAAGAGAGATGAAGAAGGAGTCACTGCGCCAGCTTCGGTTCCTAATGTAGAATAAGTCAGGCAGATACACATAGTGTTAGTTAGATCACTTTGTAGGACTTATGATATACTTAGGGTACTACAAATGGCATCAAACCTGGAATATCCTTCTGCTATAGCAGGGTTATAAAGGGTGAGGTGTTCTTTGATAGGACGATTTGAAGCACATTCATCATGCACGATAATGAGACCTCAGGTATCTAGCATTGGGTCACCCTTACCGATCATGTTTATATTATAGGATGATCAGAGTCTAAGTAATTGCTGTAGTCATGTAACCGAAGGCCATTAGCTAGTACGGCGCCGGGCCGAAATGAGAATTAATGCCAACAAAAGTTCCACAAACACGATACAAGGCCATAGGCCCTAATTATATAGTATAAGCCCTATAATGTGGTGTTGTATTTCTGTATCAGTAGCCTTAACACCAACATAGATGCCTCCAACCTTGATTTGCTCCCGCTAAAGAAGCGGGATAGAACTAATGAGAACTTTGAAAAGTTAAAGAGGACATTATGCGCCGATGCAATGAAATAAGCTGCTGCTGTTGAACAGACATCTACATTATATTACGAAGGAAACATAACACTGTAAATATGGCTCAACTAATGACCCATCGTGGCCGGTATCGAGAGCTGATATGGTAGGTAGTTGGTGCCTGAACGATGGGGCTCTGGTAGAGGGCCCTTTCGCAAGCCTAAGAAATACGGGAGCAAGTAAGTGAAAAGTTATGGATACTTTTTTTTTTGTACGTGTAAGGAATAATATAGCTATGCTTGACCCTCTTTTTGGCAGTCTAGGAGAGCCAGGGCCAATATTGTTAGGACCTTCTTCTTTTCATGGTACATTAGAGGGCTTGCTGGGTCTCGGGTAAGACGATGCTTTCTTGAGCAACATGTCCGGCGATTACCACCAGGATCTCAAGTGAAAAAGTTGCCAAGCTGGGCTTCATAGTTGCTACAGGTGTGCCGAGTGTGTCGGTAACAGATTTCATGGTGACTTTTTGGGGGTTTGTTTTCAAGTCAAGTTGGGGTTTTGCGTCAAGAGAAAAGTGTGATGATGTAGTCAGGCAAGATCGTAAGGAGACTCATCTTCGACAGGTGCGTACATAGGTATGTTTTGATGAGGGAACACCCGCCTCGAGATGCGAACTTTTCCGGGCAACAAATAAAGCTGATTTCGCAGGACAGCTAGGCCTATAGCCTTTTCGGGTGTGTACTGCTCTATTTGCACCTTCGCTACGGCCCATCGGAGGTAAGGACGGGATTTGACGTTTTGAGGATCTCGAGCTGCAATATCAGCCGCAAACTGCCGGCCGACTTCGAAGTATCTGGAAGCTGTACGCGAATTGTTAGGCTGTTCCATGGATTTAAGGACGATGGTAGTGAATTCTATCATACTTTTCCGTCACGATCCTCTTCATGGTCTTCGTCTATTTCATGCAGGGTTCCAAGTTCAACACCCCATTAGTCAACTCCAAGGGAAAATTCGAATTCACCAACAGCCGGGCAAAACAGCGTTATGCCGGTTAAACGCCAACCCTAACAAGCCTGTTCGCATGTTCAGCAACATGGGAGAGACCATTGTGCTGTCGTCGTTCATGGCCAACGAGATTTGCAGTGATTCGCGTTTCAGCTTGAACAAGTTCTTTGCTGAAGTACGATACAAATCGCTCTCGACGCTCAATCTTTCGTTTCGGGCGGGCTCAATGCTAATAATTGGAATGGAAATAGTTCTTCCAGACTACGACTCCTGGTTTCGAGGCCTTCAGTCCACCCATAACAGTATCGCTCTGAGTGTCATCAACAAGAATCTGACCAAGGCTCTAGGTAAGCATACGTGAGCAACATGTATCCTTACTTGTGGAGGATTAACGATTAGTGGACAACCGAGGTCACCGAGCCCCTTGCCGACGAAACCTCTTTAGCTTTGAAAGATATCCACCGACAATAAGAGTGAGACCACGAAGTCTCCCCTGCATAGTGAGATGACTAATACGACCTAGGCTGACACGCGATTAACATGCGATCCACCATCCTTCACGTTATCTGCCACATCTCCTCCCGCGTTTTTCTGTGCACTGAACTCTGCCGCAACGAAGAATGGCTTGCCATCACGAAGGAACACACTATGAACGGGTTTGATGCCGTCAACCGTCTTCGGGAGGGGCCCTCTGTTCTGCGACCCTTCGTTCACTGGTTCCTACCTGGCTGCCAGAAGGCCCGCTCTCATATTATTGAGGTCACCAACATTATGAAACCAATTGTCAAGAAGCGTCGCGCTCTCAAGACCGCTGCCATAGCCGAGGGTCGCAACCCACCGAAGTTAAACGATGCCATCGACTGGTTTGAGCAAGCTTACAAGGGCGAACACTGCGACCCCTCTGTCTCGCAGTTGTTTCCTGCAAAACTCGCCATGCACACTACCTCGGATCTTTTGGGTCAGGCCTTGGTTGACCTGGCTCGCAACCCTGAGATGAGTGAGTCACTGAGAAAGGAGGTTCTTGGTGTTCTGAGGGATGGTGGCTGGAAGAAGTCTTTATTGTACCGCATGAAGTTGCTCGACAGCGTTGTAAAGGAAAGCCAATGTCACACACCAGACCCTCGAGAAAGTACCATCTTTGGTGCGAACTCGCACTGTTTAGCGGGGCACACGGAAACCCCGATCTACCCGCAGCAAGCTGCGGAATAGACAGGGGACATCTTCGAGTGTAACAGAACCTGGCAACTGCAGAGCTATCTGGCATTTGACAAGACGGAACACTAATATATAGAATCTCTCAGGGAGAGGATAGGGGCATACCGATCGACTGTGGCAGCAGGCGAGACACATGCATGTAGACTAGACCCCGTGGGCACCCTTGCCCTTGACAGGGACGTCACCGGCGTTAAATACTACAAACAAACAAGGAAAGCCAACGTCTGAAGCCGCTGCAGCTTGGTAAGTCCAATACTGTGATGTCCGAAGAAAATTAGTTCACTAAACAACCGTTCCTCTTGTAGCTACCATGCAACGAATTACTGTCGATGATGTCACTCTGTCCGACGGGACCTTCATCCCCAAGGGCACTTCGGTCTATGTTTCCTCCTACTCTCTGTTCGACCCAAATATCTACAAGAACCCCAAGAAGTGGGACGGTTACCGATTTCTCCGTATGCGCGAGCAGCCCGGAATGGAGAACATTGCCCAGCTAGTCAGCACAAGTCTTAAGCACCTGGGCTTCGGTTACGGAAAGTATTCTTGCCCTGGACGTTTTTTTGCCGCCAATGAAATCAAGATCGCTCTGGTTTACATTCTTCTGTAGTACGAGTGGAGACTCCCCGCTGATGCCCAGCCCATTATCATCGACTATGCCGAGACCCCTACTATGAACCCGGCTTTGGAGCTGGAGATTCGTGGACGCGACGAAGAGGTTAATCTCAAGTTCTGATTCTGCACGATTTGGTCCATATCACAAACAGCAAAGAGGTCTTACCTGTTGGTTTAAATTGGCAAGAATGTGCAGAGTAGACCAGCATGTCAGAAGTCTCCTGGTAGCCATGGTTTTCCCGTCCGTTGAGAATTTCATTAAGGTGACCAGCCTGTCGGTCCCTGCTGCCGTTCTTACCTCTGTAATAGTCTGCCTAGAATATTAGAATATACGTCCGGAATTTCAGTTCCCTTTTCTGCCTGATAGGCTGGTAGTCAATAGTCTGATGATATTGCGAGTAGCTAGCCCTTGTAGGTTCTGGCCTTGTCTAGCTGCTAGGTTGATATCATTCAGGACTTGTGCTCCTATATGTATAAAGCTCTCAACCAAACTGATATAGTGGCCCTCCTGTTTGAAGAGACCCTGAATGTGTATGCTCCTATCCTTGCTGTAATTGCTGTTCTGTACGATGCAGTGATTGTATTATACGCACTAACTACAGGGTGCGAATGCACATGAAGCGATTGATGAGCATGAGTCGCTTGATGCGCACAGATACATGGTACCACAACGACCAATATATCCATTCACATACCACTAGGTCTGATAAGCAGTGGGTGGGCAGTGGGTGGGAGTTGACGATTGGCGCTCACAAGCAAGCAACGATTTGTCCCACCTTCTCACCCTACTGCTTACCCTGCTTACCTCAGGTAACACTTCAATCGTGTAAAAGAAGCCGTGCCTTGGGCGAGAAAATGGGTGAAGGAAACCCACTTGGGTGAGTTCTGCACCTACAATCGAGTATCACATGCAGGCTGCACGAATAGATACGTCTGTCTACAAGGATTATTCCCCGCTTCGCGAAAAATCCCTCACTCACGCTAGGGCGCACCTACTAAGAGCCTGATCGATGACTGCGTTATAAGTGCAGTAACGGCCATACCGTAGTAAAAAATACCTCAGGTTGAAATTAAGTAGAGTTTCCTATATTATTAAGGCTTAAATTAGGTAATATATTACCGTTATCCCTATAGAGGTTATTATCCTTACTGCTTTTCTTTTTCTCTAGGCTAAATAAGCTTTATTTCCCTTTACTTCTATCTATATTATTATTTTTTATTAAATTACTATAAATAATTACTATAATTACTTATATTTCTATAATAAGTAACTAGTAAAGTAAAGAAGAGCTTTTTATTAATATAAAGGGCTTTATTATTATTTAACTAATTACCTTAGCTTCTATTATTAATAAATAAAAGGACTTATTACGTTAATTAAAAAAAAAAGCTAATAAAGAAGTAATAGCTTAATAAAGAGGTTATTTAAGACGTTATTAAAGTTTATAATAAAAATAATAATAAAGAATATAATAAAGTTAATAATAAATCTTTAAATAGTATATTACTTTTTTTTAAAGATTTATTTAATTAATAAATACTAATATACTTTTATATTATTTAGATTTTAGAACTTACTTATTGCTTTATAAAGAAGCTTTTTAATTTATATTATAATAAAAACCTTAATACTAATAAAGCTATTATAAAAAAACTAGTCTTTAAAGATCTTATAATATAAATTAATATTAAGGGCTAGTTTACTAGTCTTATAACTAATAAATAAATAAAAAATAAATATAATAGTAAAAAAAAGAGGTTTTTTATTTAAATATCTATTACTTATAAGTTAAGTAATATATTTAATAAAGATAATAGAAAGGTCTCTTATAGTAATAAGGTAAGAAAGAACTTTTTAATTATTTACTTAAAGTATAAGTAGGTTTTTGAAAAAGGGTTAAGACTATTAGATCTATATAAAGAGATATAAGGTATAAATATTAAAAAGAGTAGCGTTATATTATTAATTAATAAGGTTATATATAGCTAAAAGATTAACTTTAAGGTAAATAAGAATAAAAAAGATAATAGAAATAATAATAATAATTTAAAGAATATATAAGAAAGTTAATCTTTTTATATACTATTATAGTTATTTATATTATTTTTTAGTACTTTTATATTTTTATAAAACTAGTAATTTAATAAATAATTCTAGTAATAATATATCCTTATTAGTAATAATAAGTTACTAAAAAAGAGACTTATTGCTATTAAGGTTAACGCTTATATTAATAAATTAATATAAAAGCTTAGGAATAAATACTTTAGTAGTAAAAAGAAGGTATTAAAGTTAAAGCTATAAGAGAAGAAAAAAGAAAGAAGGTAACTATTATAAAAAAAAGCTAAGGTTAATAAGGTAATAAAAGACCTTATAAGGTTTAAAAAAGATCTTAATTATAACGTTTATTTAGTTATTTTAAACTAATTAATAATAAAAGAAAAAAAACTAGTAGTTTTAAGAGTAAAATATTAGAATTTATTACTAAGTAATAAGTTAAAGAAGATATATTATATAGAGGTTTATAAGTAAAAAGTTAAGTACTAATAGTAGAATTTTTTTATTTATAGTAATCCTTTATAGTAATTCTTAGTATTAGCTTACTTATAAAAATGTCTTTTAAGTAGTATTCTTATTTCCTCTTATAGTATTTCCCTTAACTATTAAACTATAGTTCTCTTCTTAAAGCCTTATTAGACTACAGTTTTTTTCCTAAAGCCTTTTATAGCGCTACTTAAATGTAAGCTTTTATGTAATAATTAGGCTAGTTTTTCCTTTTTCTTTACCTAAACTAGAACTAGAACTAGATAACTTTTATCTAAGAGACTAAAAGGACTTTAAAGGAGGTTAATAATAGTACTAGTCTTTGCTTATTAGCTCTATAATAAGAAGAATAGACTTAATATAGTTTATATCCTTTTTTATAATAGTAACTCTTTTAGTATAAATAGTAACTAATTAAATAGCTAGAAAGATATAGGTTAGTTATTATAATAATTAATTATAGTAATTATATACTTTTAAATATAGCTATAAGATAAGTCTTAATAGCCTCTTAGAGTATAAGAATAGTTACTTTTTAAAAGTAAAGGTTATTTTGTTAAGAAATATTATATGTAATCTTTTTGTAAAAACGTTAAAAGGGTACTTTTGCTATTAAAAGGTTAATTAACTTCTAATACTTATAGATTTTATAAAAAATAATAGCTAAAAGTAAATTAGTATTATAATAATTACTTATAGTAATTAAGTAAGTACTTACTACTAGCCTTTTAATGTCTTTTCTTTAGAGGAATAGCTATAACCTTCTTAGGCGTTTTTTTAGTAGCCTTTTTAGCTAAGGGTTTTTTTATTAGGGCTTTAGTAGTAGAGGACTTTTTAGTATTATTCTTTTTTATAAAAAGCTTTTTAATACCTTTTTTTAAAAAATACTTATAGAAAGCTTAGGCTATTAGTATTATAGTAAATCTAAATAGTTAGTAATTTTTAAAAAAAATAGAATAAAAAAAGAAATAACTTATAAAAGTTATTATTATTATTATTATTATTATTAAAAAAAAAAAGTAAAATTAAAAAAAAAGAAAAAAAAAATAAGTAAAAGAATATAAGTAAAGTAAGTGTAATTAATAGTTAAAGAAGATATAAAAAATGAAGTAATTTATAATTATTCTATTTATTATTTTTAACCTATTTTTACTTTTTTTTTTTTTTTAATTTTACTTTTTTTTTTTTAATAATAATAATAATAACTCTAAAAAAAAATTAATTTAAAGATAAAAAACTAATAATTTTATTTATTCTAAAAGTATTTTAACTTTTATTTAGTTTCTTATTTATTATTAAGGATATCTTTCTCTTAGCTTTTATAAGGTCTATTTATATTTATTTATTTATAGTAATTAATTATAATAACTTAACTAATATTTCTCTAGGCTACTTATTAGGCTCTAGTGTTAGTATAAAGCAGAAGGCTAATAATAGCTACTCTAAGAATATATATACTAAAAAAGCTTATAAACGTATTAAGGAAATAATAGAGAAAATAAAAGAGCTTAAGAAAACTAAAAAGTCCTTTACTACTTAAAAAAATTATAAACTAGTTACTTTTAAGAAGTCTTAGCTATATATTAATAGTATAGTTTTAGTTAAGGCTAATATAAAGGCTAAGGTAATTAATGATATTACTACTATAGTATAAATAACCTTCTTTTTATCTATTTTATACTTATTTTTAACCTTAAAAATAAGTAAATAAAGAGTAATTATTTAGGAATTATTGCTGTATAACTTGGTTTTTATTAGGCCTCTTTTAAAAGCTAAGCCTTTATTTAGGTTAATAATAATAATTAAGTTATTTAAAATAATAATAATAATAATGACTAAAAGAAGATTCTTTTTCTTAGCTTAGAAAAATAAATGGAAGAAAAGCTAGCTAATTTTAAAGATTATTATAACTTTAAGGTTAATTCTTTTTTTATTAAAAGTATTAATATTTAATAAAAGATATAAGTACTTATTACTAAACGTAAAGAAGTAAGTAATTACTATAAAAGATTACTATAAATTATTAATAAAACTAGGATCTTATTTGCTAAAAGTACTATTATATAATTAACTATTAGTATATAGCTTTTAATTAGCTTTTTACTAAGGTCTATTACCTGAAGGTTTAACCTTCTATCTACTTTGAAGTTGCTTTTGAAGTAGGCTTTCTTTAGCTTGGTTAAAGTCTATTAGCTGCTATAAATATCTTTATAAAGGAAAAATCTCTTCTCTAATTAATTTTAATTAAGTATTAAAAGGTCTTTACTTCTAGAGACTATAAGCTTTTGAAAATTGTTTTTTGTTTTTATTAAAAAAAAAAGTAAATAAAATTAAAATTTTATAATTAATAAACTTTACTAATTAATTATTTTTTAGGCAATTTATTCTTTAATATTACCTTATTATAAGTTAATAAAGTAGAGGTTTCCTTTATACTATTTAATATTATTGCTTAACTTAGAACTTTAAGCTAACTATTAAGTAGTTAATTAAAGAAGTAAACTAATTACTATAACTAATTACTATAAATTACTAATATAAATATAAGTTTAAGGCTTTTTTACTTTATTCTTTTA